CATCGTAAATTTACCTTATTTTGAACAGTGCTTTCCCTTTCTATCTGCCGATATAAAAAAGTGACGCTCGAATGAAATAAATAACGAAGTAGGAAGTGGAAGACTATTGAGGACCCTAAATTCCGAACAGTTTTTGTCAAATAAAGCTAATGTAGTATGACCTGAATTAAATCGGGTTTGTTATAACTATAACGTTAACGAGAAAAGGAGACAAATAATAGTTTTTAAATTTTAATTGATACTATTAAAATGAAACGATTAAAATGACCGCTTTTTGTTAGTTTAGCACAAACGGGAAATAGCATATATGTGTCTTTTGTTTTACTCATCGTGGTTGATGCATGCTTGACAGGAGACGCCTATGCTCCTTCATTTATTTTTTTCATGAGATTCACTCAGTTTTTGTTTTTGTTTTTTTTTTTGGGTTTTTTTTTTGTTACCTTGCTTTGTATTTACTATATCGATTTATGAGATTGACGTATTGACTGTCATGCAAGTGAGAGGTTAAGCTAGCTATAAAACCAGGTTTAATCCATCATTTTCTATTAGGGAAATGCCTGTACCAAGACAGGAATATGACAGTTGTTTTCCATTCTTTTGAGCTTTTGATTTTGCCAATTGATAAAAGACTTTCCATTTTGGATTCGGTAATTTTGCTATTTTACTGTTTTTTGTAAACTTCTGTAGTCTTAATTGTATTCGAATATTTCTTTCCTGTTCGGTCGACTGGAGCATAGAAATATGGTCATCCATTGATGTTCTTCGGTTATTGCAGAAAAAAGGTAACCGTCGCTGCACGTTATTGCATTAATTGTTATTTTTTTTTTCTCTTCATGAACATGCACGACATTGGCCACTGAACGTATGAAAATTAAGAACCATTGGGCGTTAAACAACCAACAATCAAACAATCATTTAATATGTCTACTTTAATCAGTCAGTCATGCGAAACATGTAGGTATATCTGACCCAACTATCCGTTGCAACTCTCTGATACGCCTACATTAATCCAACAACATTGAAGTAGTATTCTCGCTCAAATGACATTAACAAAAAACGTTACCTGCATGTGGCGTACTGACCAATGGGCGAGGTGATATTTATCAAATCCATATTTGTATTGACGAATACATCTTAGACAGTTTAAGTGCTAGATTTTATTATGAAATGCTTAAAATATAGCATTCAAAAGAACCACATTTGCCGCTTATTTTTCGTTTAATAATCAAAAACAATTTCATATTTTTCAAATGAATATTGAAAACTAGTACTTTAATTATTAAATAACTACCACTTACATTCAAATAGTACGGAACATGTTTAGTTAAAACACAATTTAAAACATATAGAATTAGTTTTGATGATATTTCAGGATATTACTATTTTGTGTGGATCTTAATGAACTCAATTTAATGAATAGTGGTGCATCCCTGCATTTATCTTGTGTTTTCTTTTATACATAATATACCTTACATATCAGTGCAGGTAATTTCCGAATCATGTTAAAGGAAAGGTTAAATGTTAGTATAACACATTTGTGTCTTTAAAATCATGGTCAATGAAATAATTACACTTCAATGAAAAATTTAAAGGTATTTTAAGTTTAATATATAGGTCTCATCAATAAACAAGTCTTTATACAAGATTAAATAAATAATCTAAAAAAGTTTTGAATGCATTTAAAGAGACTAAGGATCAACACAAAATGACAAAAGCCGTGACAAGGACAAGTATAGTGTTTGTTAGTAAACACGCCCACCTATTTCCATCAGCGGAGTAACACAATTATAAAATAAATCAGAGGAATTATTGTAGGTCAGATAAAAAATATCTATTCAAAACCGGAATGAAAAAAGCGGTTAAAGGGAAATTATATATAATACAGAACCAAAGTATGCCCGAGTGTACCATGGTTACATGAAAGCAAAGTGATATTAATTTACCTACATTTAAAACGAATTATCGTATTGTAATTTGTTGTAATAACGTCTTAATTGAAACTGAAATGCGCAATCTCATAGACTCGAAAATGAATTTGTATTAGAAATAAAGGCAACATTTTCATCTCATATCAAACTAGAAATATGCAAATGATATGCAAATAGATGATGTTCTCCCAATATGCATTGATTTAAATTAAACAATATAATCAACTACATCAAGTCTATTGAATCACCAAAAACTTGATTAAGTACAGTGAAACGAATTTTATACAAAAAAAAGTAAAATCACAAAAATACTGAACTCCGAGGAAAGTCCCTAATCAAATGGCAAAATCAAAAGCTCAAACACAGCAAACGAATGGACAACTGTCATATGATTTGGTAAAGGCATTTTCTTATGTAGAAAATGGTGGATTAAACCTGGTTTAATAGCTAGCTAAACCTATCACTTGTATGACAGTCGCATAAAATTCCATTATATTGACAACGTTGTGTGAACAAAACAAAAAGACATAATAGGAAAAACTGTCAAAAATAGGGGTACAGCAGTCAACATTGTGATATAATAATCTTAATCACTATAAAAACAAACAAATAAGCATGTAAATGGTCGCATTGAACATAAAGTACAGATACAAATGTATGCAAGTTAACGATTTTCCTATACCTGTGCATTGACATATGAATTTTATGGATTTAAATAGTTAATGAAAGGAAAATCCCAACAAAACATTTAAAACTCCCAAAAAGTATTGACATTGTGTACATAGATGGCATTTAAAAAAACTGTTTGAATACAATTAACGATAAACCAATAAGAACTTAACAATGTTGATTCAATCAGATGTTGTTGGTTCAAGGGAAACATTTGTATAGCGTCTATTTTCTATCATGTATAATAAATAATTTGTAAATATAGTAGATTTCCTCATACTGTCTTATACGCAAAACATATTAATGATGATGGCATGATATCTTGATGTTTTTTTCATTGTATAGTTTGAGGATATTATATTGAAGCTTTCATTGTATGTATATATTAAAAGATCTCAGAAATTATACTTTCTGCACGCATTAATGCTAATTTGATGTTTTTTTTTATGATTTTTTGTATTCTTAATATTTGTGTTATTCATTACCAACAAAGAGACCAATATAACTTGTCATTACCGAAAAAAAAAATAATCTTATAATAGATAAATACATGCGATGTATATACATGTTTACAAACAGAGTGAGTTATGACGAGATTTCTAAAGAAGACAACTGAAAGCAATTTAATATTTCCTACCGTTGAGTCAAAATGCATCTACATGCTAGAAGAGAAGGCTTTGAAGACCTTTATTTTGGCTTTGCCATTTTTGCTTTAATATTTCATAACAATAGATCGTTGCCCATGTATATATTTTCAATTAATGGAGGCGACCTCTTCCTGGCTAATTAGCTTTCTCTCGAAATATTCTGGCGTTAAGTTTTCAGAAATATTTTTCGGTCATAATAGGGACGTTAAATCCGATGTCTTGTGTAGAGAAAGTGCCATGCTCTGTATACGTTGAGAACCCTTGGTATTAATCCTAGATAGGTCATATGTGGGCTGTTAGAAGGCAAAATATATGTCCCTATCCAATATAGCCTCTTTTTCCCGTTGCAGTCTAAATTTCCCCGACCTTCATCCCTGTCGGCCTCGATTACAAGACCTTCCTATTGTATGAACTGTAAATATGTTCTTGTCCTGAACATGCAGACAATATTTTCCACTGGACGTTAATCAACCAACAATCAATCCACCAAATATCTAATTCTTTATCCGGATTTGGTGATGCTTTAGGGTTAAATTATACTAAAAGTTTTTATTAGGTTTTGAATTTTCAATTGTACCTTGGTTGGTTTAGTTTCACGATTATTTACCCCTGATACTAACAACTGTTTAGTTAAGGTGATCAAACAATTGTGTTTCAGGATATCTTCCTTATTTACTTAGAGGAAAGAAATTATCCAACGATCAAGTGCTCGCGTTTGATTTTGTTCTGTTCCCGTTAATCTAGTAAGAATAGTAAGTGATCCAGTGCATATTTGTACGACACATCAACCAACAGGAAAAAAACGATCAGAGTGTTTTCTAAATACTACTGGGAGCAGTATAGCGTGTTATATGTATTAAATTTTGAGTAAAAATTATTCTTCACACAAAAAACAACAGATAAGTCAGGAACCTGTTGTTCAGTGGTTGTTGTTTGTTGATGTGGTTCATAAGTGTTTCTCGTTTCTCGTTTTTCATATAGATTAGACAGTTGGTTTTCCTGTTTGAATTGTTTCAAACACACTAGTCATTTTTGGGCCCTTTATAGCTTGATGTTCGGTGTGAGCCGAGGCTCCGTGTTAAAGGCCGTATTTTGACCTATAATTGTTTTCTTTTTACACATTGTGACTTGGATGGAGAGTTGTCTCATTAACACTCATATCACATCTTCTTATTTCTAGATAAAAAAACACAATAAAAAACTCGACTTGCATTTTAACATACGGTCTCCAACAGGAGAATAATGTATAGATAAGAAACAAATATGAATATAACAACGACTTGTCATATAGGTAGCTTTATTTTAGAGTATGGTTCATACAGCAACCGCATAAAAAAGGAAAAGTCAAATTTTGATCGAGTCATGTGTTTTAAAGATTTCGTGAACAAATTTTGCCACTGGACGTGGAACAACAAACAATCCTTCAATCCAAATTTTGACATGTTTACTGGGTGTGGATTGGTATAACGGGCGATGAATATATAGCAGGATACGCTCACACTGGCGTTGCATCCCGTCTCGCTCCTCATTTTTTGTTTATGCTCGTTTTGTATATTGTTGGAAAGGATCTGAACATCGGTAAACTACTGTTGCCCAAAAAATAATGTTCCCGACATCAAGGATTGCGTGTTTTAACACAGTCTGTTAACCATACTGGTCGAGTACATATTGTCGTTTTCTTGTTGAGTTACTCTCCAGCACCAATAAATGACTGCACATTTTATGCGGAGGCTTTAATTCTACAAAAGCTTTTTTTCTTTTGCTAAGTGCAAGTCTATGGGACAGAGTAACGCATGTGACAGTTTTCTTATGAACACTATAAACACCGTGTACATTAAAATTTTAATAAAGAATGATCAGAAAGTGTCATCAAAGTCATAATAGTTAATTTAATATATCGAGTTTTGTATGATGAATCATTACCTTCACTCATCGATATGACAGGTAGACATAACCTTTTATTTTTACCATGTACTATTCAGATAAATCATATTTTAAGTTGTTCCAAAATTCTGATATAGATGCTTCAATTAAACCTTTATATATAAAATTATCCTGTATTGCATACCCTGAAAAAAACCTTGTTAATAACAGGTCATTTAATTTCACGTTAAGATATATTGATGATTTTCTTCCCATTAACAATCAAAACTTTTCTGATTGGGTTCCATTAATATTTCCTTCAGAACTAGAAATTAAATAAACAACAGACACGGCTTCCTCCGCCTCATGTTTAGACTTATACTTTGAATTTGACATTAGCGGTCATGTTAGTACCAGAATATATGACAAACAAGACGATTTTAAATTTGAAATTATAAATTTCCCCTACCTTAACAGCAATATGCCAACATCATCTGCATATGGGATATACATTTCCCAACTCATTCGGTATTCAGCAGCTTGCGGCTGCTACTCAGACTAAATAAAAGTTGATGAACCAGGATTATGTCCAATAATGTCTCGTCCTTTTTCTGAAACAGGTCATTGAAAGATACCAAGACCTAGTTGATAAATATATATTAACTTTACAAATGATACATGATGGTCTTAAAGTATAGATTCTCGGTACTATAATCTTCATTACGTGTTATAGTGTTCTTTTTATTTGCCATTGTATATTATTAAACTTTACTGTTTAGTCCAGGTTTGGTAATATACTTTTGACATGGCTCGTTATTTATACATCCCGCCACATTGTGTTATTGTGCTTTGGTTTGTATTCTTGTCTTTCATTTTTCCTTATGTACTTGATCTGTAGAATGTTCATATGCCATTCTGTTTTTCTTTGTGGAACTAGTTATTTGTTCTTATAGTGATACACATTGTTGTCAAGATAGTGGAATTCTATGCGACTTGCATGAACGTGAGAGGTTTAGCTAGCTATAAAAACAGGTTTAATCCACCATTTTCTACATAAGGAAATGGTAGTACCAAGTCAGGAATATAACAATTGTTTTTAATTCGTTTGATGTGTTTGAGCTTTTATATTTGTCATTTCCGTTTGGAGTTTGCCATGGAGTTCGTGATTTTTGTTATTTTACCTTTTTCGCATATCCTGTTTACTATCCCAATGCATGTTTAAATATACGGACGCATGATCAAATGTGTATAAAATGCTTTTTTTATTACTTACTTATTACGAAATATGCTTTAATTTGTTGAGATTGTACTAAAAGTATTGAATATTAAGATTCACAATTGGTAGTTTTAATTGTCATGCATTCTTAATTTTATACATGTATCTTTTCATATGAGATTTAACAATAACTATCATATTTGTGGTCTGCATCATCATAACATCTGGTTGAAGCAAAATTGGACTTAGAAGTTTCAGCGTGATGGCTGGTAAGTTGTATATAAACTGAAATAAAAGTTAATGGGATGAATGTCAATAAAGCAACTATCGATAAAATAATAAAAGCCCCGCCCCCCTAAAAAATATCTTTTATAAAAGACCTGACTCATATCGATACACAGATTAAAAAAACTTTAAAAAAACACTTTGTGTAGAGGGCCGTATGATTGCCTACAATTGCTTACATCAACTTCATTTGAACTCCTGTAGATAGTTGTCTCATTGGCAATCATACCTCATCTCCTTATATTCCCTTACTAACGTCTACTTCATTATTTTCTGATTAGTTTCTTATTGGATTTGCGGTTATACTTCCCTCATTTTAATATTTTTATAAAGAAACAAAGTACCAATCTAAGATTATTCAGTTACTGAAAGCTAGTTCATAGCCAAAAACTAATAAAATCATACATCCTAGACAACATATATATCCTAGACAACATGTATATCCAAGACAACATATATATCCAAGAAATATATGTATCCAAGACAACATACATATCCAAGACAACATATATGTTTAAGACAACATATATATACCAGATAACATATATATATATATATCAGTATACATCAAATGGACGTCATATGCAATGATGTTGATGTTAATTGTTAATTGTAAATTAATCCAACGATTACATTGAGTCATAACAATAACGATGTCAGGTAACATTAATTTTTGATCGGACATTACTTTAATGCGCACTTATTAACTTTCAGAAATATAAAAGCGTCGACCATTACATAAGTAAGTTAATTCAGGGATCAGCTGAAGCCCGCCCTCGGGTTGGGAATTTTCGCGCTACGTTGATGACCCATTGGGGGCCCTGGACTGTTTTATGCTATTTGGTCGGGTTGTTGTCTTTTTGACACATTCCGCGTTTCCATTCTCTATTCTAATGTAAGACCTTCGCTTAAATACGGTGTATGGCTGCTCAACCAGTCTTCGAAATGAAATTTAAAAAAAAAATGCAATTATAGTGGATCAATCATTGAAAAAATAGTTAATATTTCTTCATTGTAAGTTACTTAAATATTGAATTTACCGACGAGTGTTTAAAATAAGGCATTACCACCAATGGTGCGCACAAAAATACAAAAGAAAAACGACATATTTTCGAAATAACGTTTTCCGAAATATCTAATGTAACTAATCGGTTGTTTAGTGAAAAAATAGTCTTATTTTGTCCATAATGTTAAAAAAATTTGATATATGGAGGAAAGGAAGAAAAAAACAATATTTATACAAAATGTTGGTGTAAATTTCTATACATTTCAATTTTTTTTATATCAAAATATGTAATATTTTTCAAAGGCTACACTGTATCAATCGATAACTATGTATTCAATCTATTGTTATTTTTCTTTTAATTTTCTTCCGTAGAGTAACATTCTTATGTGTTTCTATTCTGTAATTGGTTTGTTCTTTTGTTCGTTTGTTGTTGTGCTGTAGCCCTTTTTGTATTTCCAATCTTTCATTTTTGCTTATGTGCTTTGTCTATATGCCATGTTTTTCTTTGTTGACATTTTTGTTTGTTTTTATATTGATTAAGATTATATAACACAATGTTGACTGCTGTACCCCTATTGTTGACATTTTTACCTATTATGTGTGTTTGTTTTGTACACACATTGTTGTCAATATAATGGAATTTTATATGACAGTCAGTGAGAGGTTTAACTAGCTATAAACCAGGTTTAAACCAAAATTTTCGACATTACGAAATGCCTGTACCAAGTCAGGAATACGACAGTTGTTTTCAATTCGTTTGATGTGTTTGCTGTTTTGATTTTGCCATTTGATAAGGGACTTTTCGATTTGAATTTCCCTTGGAGTTCGTTATTTATGTTATTTTTGTTATATTACTTCTTGTTTTTTTTTATGCCTACTTGTTTTTCTTTTGTGATAATTTAGTTAACCAACGTATAAGATATATTTAACAACCTATAGCTATTGACATCATACATTGTTAAAATAACATCGAAACAGATACATTTTGGCAAAATAAAATTAGCCAACAACTATTTTTAAAGGCTCATGATTGTAAACCAAAGTATGTTCGAACATAATCCATTAAACATAACGATATGTTTAAGAGGCAAGTGATTTTATCAATGTGATAATAGCTTAAATCTTTTAGAAGGCACAATTATGAATAAAAGAAAAAATCGGGAGAAACAAAGTGTCAGTCAAAATTCGTATAAGTCGAAGAGAAAACATCGCATGGCTAAAATGAAAAACAACATTTTAAGGTCTTGGTTTGATTTGTTTCAGAAATTATAGAATTAATGCCTGGTTCGACGGATACAGAATGGATTACCAAATCGGTATGGTGAACATTTTATTCAAATTCGTTTTTTTATGTTTTATTGTAAACTCCAAGGAAGCCAATAACGAATTAAATGTTACAGCAGAAATACAATGTATAAAAGTACGTGCTGGTTCAACAACTGAATACTTCATGTCCATGGTAGTTTAAACAGAGAAGCAGACGATACTAAAGGGACATTCAAACAAACAAGCAGAAGACAAACATACGACTTTAACTATGGCGAAAAGACAACCACCGCATACAAATGTAACGATTGAGTAACACGAGTCCTACAAAAAAAACGGGGATGATGTCAAGTCCTCTATAATAATATACTCAGACGACCTAACATGTTGTCATTATCTTAAAATATACAAATAAATGCACAATAAAAATAACGCCTCTTTCCTTAGTAATCACATGTTTATCTGTACAATTTAGTGACGCACCACATGCATTTAACATTCAACATTGATTTGTCTCTTAGAAAAACAGAAATGAAATCGTTATTATAATTTAAAAAAAATAGTTCTTTAAATAAACAAATTGAGCGAAAAATTATTGAACAAGTGACCAAACTTCTGCATACTAATATAATGATAAGTCATAAAACATATAGCTTTAAAGTTCATTTGTAGGGGTTTTGTGATTTATCTCCTTCGTATAATTTTTTAAACCAAAATAGATTTGCAATATTTAATAGAAATTTTACTATATTGTTTAATGTTAACAGGAGAGAGATATCCTTTTAATATAAGTAAAGAAAAACCATCTCTATCGGGAATTTCTTTGAAGTAAAACTATATTGTCTACTGTTTGCCTTAAAATAAACTATTTCATTAAACTGCATCAAGTTGTCTCTTAAACGTTCGTAACAGATTTTCGATTACCAAATATTTTTGGCTCAAACCTCACCAAAGGGACATTATTTTTCAAAATGCACATCTGGTGCAATAAGATTTGTACCGTTAAAGATATTACAGATGATCAATAGATATAGGGTTATTTCATATCATTTATTTCCAAAGTTTTCACGCACCGTCTTGATAGAGATGCATGTATGTCTTTTCCAGGAATCGGAATCTGAAGATGAGGGTCGTCGAAAAACAAAGAACTTGGTAAGTACATCCCACCCTAAATATCTTTGAAATATCAAAACTTTAAATAAAACAATAGTTATTTAGTCAATTTAAATACAAATGATGTTCAGGCACTTTTTTCCCAACCTGGGTAATACTAAATACTTTAAAACATTTCAACCATTCCTGGCCATCATTTATTCTATCGTCTGACGGATTGACTTTCAGCAATGAAAGAACCATTCCTGGTATTCATTTTTTTCTATCGTCTAACGGAAAGACTTTACCACTTATTTCTATCTAGCGTCTGACGGATTGACTATTCTAATCGGTTATCAGGCCATTAGTTTTCTCGTTTGATTTGTTTTATATTTGTCATTTCAGTGCTTTTTATAGCTTACAAGGCTGTATGGATCTTGCTCATTGTTGAAGGCCTTTCGATGATCTATAATTGTTAGCTTCTTTGTTTTTTAATCCCTGGTGGAGAGTAGTCTCTTTTGCAATCATACCACATCTCTTTAATTTTTATTTAGTACAGGACTGACTACAAATGGACGACTGAACTCATAGATGAACCACATTACCAAACTATTCATTCCTGTATAGACCTGAGCATTGTATTGTTATGTTTCTTTGGCTGCGTCAGTCCATGAGCTAATAATATTAACATAGTAGAATAACGTGTTGTTAAATGGTATTTGTTAAATCATTTTTTCTGCCTGAATTAAAGATATGACGGAATGAAACAATTCAAGTTCATTAATACAAAAGGTATAAACAAAATAGAAGATTGCATACAGCTACACACGTCAACCATAAAATAACAATATCTTAAGACAGACACATAAATAGGACGTTAACCGCAAAATAACAGTATCATGGGACAGAAAATAAATAGGACGTCAACCACAGATTAACAGTCTCCTAGGTCAGGCACATACATTGTTTAGCCGAGTGTAAATTGTATGTGAGGGCTCCACTCTTACTTACCTGCAAGACCGTTGTAATTGCACAACATAATAACAACCTGTTACAATCAGTTGGATAGGACTTATTTAACTAATCATTAGCACAATCACTAAAAAATAAACCATAAAATTTTTATATTTATATTGAAAAAACTTCTTTTAATTTCTTGTCATATATGATGTAGAAATTCTCTCAACAAAATATAATCAAGACCAATTTTTTTTCAATAAATTCAATTATTGCTTAACTTTTGGTGTAATTTTATGTTGTAACTTTGGTGTTACACAAAAGCCATAACAAACGTTATACTAGTATATTGTGACCCTTGTTCGTACTTTTAAGCTTAAATTTAAAATAAGTTGGATTTACGATTCAGAGAGAAATTCAGTAAAGGAGAATATTCCTAATTTGGTAACAGATAGAAGTGTGTCCTTAGATGTGCTGTAATAAATAAATGCAACACAACGTTGCCCATTTGAATTTCCATCATTTGTAGAAAATTTTCATCAACAGAATTCAGTAGATATAGATAAAACCTTGACCTTTTTAATAATATGTTCTCATAAACTATGGAGATTGTTGACCCTTCTGAATGTCTCTGATAAAAAAATAAGTATTTATGTTGTTTTAATAGCCTTATGTTGTAATGTTTAAGCTTAGATATTTTAAACAGGAAATTCAAGGCCATACAAGTGTGCTGTCAGAAAAAAAGTATTGAAATTGTTTTAACAGCTTTTTGTAATGTTTAAGCTTATTTATTTTTAACAGGAAATTCAAGGCCATAAAAGTGTTGGTGGGAGGATGTTACATTGTAAAACCTTCTATGGTTACAAAATTACAGATTTAAAAAGACAGTATATTGAAGGTATTGGATATACTTATATATATTATAAATATATGGTGGGTTTGAATTGCAATTATATACTTGCTCTATTTCTCTGAGCTTTCAACCATTTAGATTGACATCTTTCTTTGTCCGACTATTCTGAAACACAGTAGATGCTATAAAGTGACATTGCAATGATACATCTCGGCATTTCATCTTTTTTATTGACCTTACATGATGAAAATGTTTTTCACTTTTACATGAGGTTTTTAATTGAGCTGAGAAGACAATAGCTATACATGGTTATATTACACTACTAGCATATGAAAATAAACAGCAACAATATATTTAGATTGCGCTTGCAAGTTCTTGTCCTTCCGTCAGCGGGATTTTCTGCGACCCAAGAGATGATTTCAGCTTCCCAATTGTGAACTTTCCAATTTTATGCAGCAACATTCCAGCAGCAACTGCATACGGAGTATATATCTCCCAGTTGATACGATATTCCAGGGTTGTATTTCCTATCATGATTTCCTTGGTAGAGGGTTGCTGCTCACAAGGAAGCTTTTAAACCAAGACTGCCCTACAGATATGTTCCAATTGTTGTAACTACAATCTCGGCCCCTTTTCCCCGAATATGACATACCGAATTAGACGTATCACTTGTTTTGTACTGACATTAGCAACACGAAGGGTGCCACATGTGGAGCAGGATCTGCTTACAATTCCGGATCACATGAGATCACCCCCAGTTTTTGGTGGGGTTTGTTTTGCTCAGTCTTTAGTTTTCTAAGTTGTGATTTGTGTACTGTTTTTTGTCTGTGTGGCTTTTTCTTTTTTTTGCCATGGCGTGTTCGGTTTATTTTCAACTTGTGAGTTTGAATGTTTTTTTGTTATCTTTCGCCTCTCTTTTAAATCGGTATTATATTAAAAAATGGAATATAATGTGCTTTGTTAATTGTCCAAGAGATTGGACAAAGTGATTTGATACATTACAAAAGTCTTTGACTTATTTGTACTGAAGGGTTCAAACAGTGTTATTCTTTACAAAGTTTTATTTAAAAAGAGTAACTTAACAATGATATATGTTCTAGAGGAACATTTCCAATTGTAAATAAAGCATAATTGATTGGGCAAATGTATTGTAGTATATAAGCAAACCAAACTGCATTTTACGAAAATTCAAAATGGATTATAAAAAATATGAAAGGATATTTATAATTCAAGATTAGGATGAAAGCCACTGTGGACAGTTTATATAATTACAAACTGAAGAAACATTTGCAATTTTTAATTATCATCAAAAGTTGAAGTTTCCGTACAAACTTAGTAAATTACAACACTAGGAACAGTAGACTGCCTGTTATATTTTGACTTACATACTTCTTACATTTGTGGAAAGTCTATGACAAACGAGACGATTTCAGTTTCGAAACTATAAATTTCTCCCACCTTAACAGCAATTTACAAACTTCAACGCATATGGAATATACATTTCCCAACTCATTCGGTATTCAAGAGCTTACAGCTGCTACTCAGTTTATAAAACGTCACCAGTGGCTGAGCAGAAAAGTAAGGAATCAGGTTGATGTCAAAGAATGTCGCGTTCTTTTTCAAAAAAAAAATCCATCGGAAGATACCAAGACCTTGTTGATAAATATTCCTTTTCACCTTCACAAATAATACATGATGGTCTTGAAGTGTAGATTCTAGTTACTGACGTTGTTTATCATCTCAATTACGTGTAACATTGTTCTTTTTATGTGTCTTTGTATATTTTAAACCTTTACTGTTTAGTCCATTTTTGGTAATATCCTTTTGGCGTGGCTCGGTATTTATACATCCCTACATTGTATTATTGTGGTATGGTCATATTTGTATTCTTGTCTTTCATTTTTGCTTATGTACTTTGTCTATAGAGTATCTATAGTCCATTTTGTTTTTCTTTGTTGACAGAGTTGCTTTTTTTTATAGTGATTGCGATTAGACCACAATATTGACTGCTGTACCCCAATTTTTGACATGTATATCTATTTTGTCTGGTTGTTTTGCTCACACATTTTGTTGGCAATTCCATTGAGTTCTATGCGACTGTCATATAAGTAAGAGGTTTAGCTGTACTAATTCAGGAATATATCAGTTGTTTTCCATTCGTTTGATGTGTTTGAGCTTTTAATTTTGCCATTTGATAAGGGACTTTCCGTTTTGAAATTTTATTGGAGTTCGGTATTTTTGTTATTTTTACTTTTTATGAAAATTCAAGCTATTCATACTAGTTGTAATTTGTTTTTGTTATTTTTTATAATGAAATATTATAAAGTACATTGAAGTCATTTTCTTAACTGTTTGGATTCACTTTACCACCTACAAAGAGTCCTCAAGAATATTTACATAATATACACGTGTTTTAGTTGATTAATCTTTATATTTCTAGGCGATTGTGGTATGTGTATAGTTGAGTTCGGAGATGGATTCGCACAGAAAAAGGTAGAGGTTTTGTTGTTTCTTAATAATGTTCACCGAAAACGAATGTTATAAATCCTGCATTTGATTAAAATACAATTTTTAAAGTCTGTTGGTTATCTTAAATGATAGTCATGAGAATAAAAATGACAACTGGATGTACCGTATATCGGGTTTTTTTCGCGTGTGATTAATTTTCGCTTTATTCGCAGCTACTAAAAAACGCGAAAATTTGACCCCGCGTAAATTTCACTGCAAATTGAAAGATTTATCGTTGTTCGACAGTTTCATACATTATACTGTAAATTACCGAGTCTTTTGTGTTCTTGGACGGATCTAAAGAATGGGCATACTTAATTAAGATCTCTGTTTTCATAATAATTATATCGATTAATCATACATTCCACACCTTTTGACAACGCAGCAATCAGTGACATGTTAAATAAAATTGAGAATGGAAATGGGGAATGAGAATGGAAATGGAGAATGTTAATCTATTGATTTGTGTCATAATCCGAACATTTTGCATGTAATGTAAAAATAAAATGAAAATAATTCACATTTACATGGATTTTTGTATATCTGTAATGATCAAAACCTTCAAGTTTGAGCATGCTCCAATGCACATAATTTACGTTCCATAAAAGTTCTCTGAATTATGTGTATTTTTGTTTGTATTAGTCATATTTATTTGTATTCGATTTCTTGTCAGTTACACAAGTTTATGTTGTTTACATCTTTATCAATACGATATAGTTATTTTTTCGCGTGTATTTCTCATTCAGCAAAAATTATACACAGTGTAAATTTAACCTGCCCATTTTGTCATCAAATCATGAAAAAAAGGCCGACGCGGTATATGTAAGACAATATAAATAAAAGTAATATGACACAAAGTACAACCTTACAGAGAAGACAATGAGGCAAAAATGAGCACCATCCGTTCCGCGGGTCATGAATTTATAGTTTTAAAATGAAAATGTAACATAGAAAATGAAAGAAAAATTCACAAAATCATCGTTGCGTAAAATAGGTAATGAAAAACATGAAATAAAAATTGTATTGCTATAAAACCAAAAACTTAGTTCAATATACCATGTTCTTGTAGAGTCTGTCTGGTTAAATTGATTGATTGATTGATGATTGCTTTACGCCTCATCAGCAAAAAACGGCTATATCGCGGCAAGAGCTATTCAAATATTATAATATATATATATATATAATTGTTTTTAATCAGACATGAAGTCCTTCAATTTACTAAAACTTTAGTTTAAAGCGAAAATACTTATTTACAAATAAAAATTCATCAACTAGATAACATGATAAAAACTTAAAATCATTTTAAACTAATGCAACAAATTCATATAGCATAAACGATTCGTTGAAATTCTTCACGCACGTTTTAGACCCATACGTTCTTAATGGTAAAACATTGTAGGTTAACAAAATACACATCCAGTAATGTCAAAGATACCCGTTCACGTCTACTTAATTTGACATAGTACAAGATCACCTGTATGAATGTGTGAGCTCTATTAACACACACAGAACTCATTGTTATATCACATATTGAGAAGGGACTGACACTGATGAAGTCTATTTGTTGGTCCGAAATATCTGTCAATACGATTTCATTCCATCTTTTTTATATCTTTATCTTTTATCAATATCGTTGCACAAATCCTAAAACTTATATATATATAGGAATACGTGACTTGGCTGCTGGATCCCGTTTGTTGTCACGATAACAAATTATGTCTGTTTGGGTTGCTAATCTAATTTTGTTGATAAAGTGGAAGGTTTAGCTAGCTACTAAACCAGGTTAAACCCACTATTTTCATCCGAAAATGCTTGTTTCAAGGCAGGAATATGACTGTTGTTTTCCTTTCGTTCCGTTGTTTAATATAGTCGAGCGTTTGGTTTTGTCAAGTTATATGGACATTAAGCTTGGAGTTTGGTATTTTTGATAAAATGTAATCATCAAAGATAGAAAAAATAGTTCTTAGAAAACAGTCTACAATGCAGATTAACATTGATAATTGACTGCCTAGTAACTAATGTTTTACTTTTTACTACTAGCGCTTTCCAAACAATGTATATCCGATACGATCATATTGCAATATATTCATCGTCATCATAATCTTCAGCATATGTTTGTAATAATCAATTTTCTCTTCCAATTTATTGCATCATAGAACTTTTATTTATAGATTGAGGTGATCTGTTGGGAATCGTTGCGGTTTGGAGACAAACGAAAGTTACACAAACCGTTGACGTGTCTCATATTTGCTAATCGAGAAGTAGATGACAGATTGAAACTAATGGAAGAAGTCATATCTTTTGCAAGTAAGTATATGCAAAGCTTTCTAAATTATTAGAACAAATTACAAATTGAAAAAAAACAATGTCATGTGAATCAAAGGCAATGATTTTAAAATGTTTTGTAGGGAGTCATCTATTAGTGTTTAAATGTCTCCAACCACACTAAGTGTACAGGTGCACAGGGAACTACATGTTCCTTAGTCATATTGGTAGTCCTTTCCGGTTTTTTGGAGTTTTTTTGGGGGGTAGGGTTGGGGGGATGTAGTCACCTTCTTCGCGAATGAAAATAACACTTTTATAAAAGAGTACTTCATTAACTAGTATATGTGATATCTTTGATACAAAAACACATGAAGATAACCTATTCAAATCAATACACGTGCATTTCGAGGAAACAAATTAAAAGAATTATTAAAGACAACAGATTTCTGTATTTTTTTACATTTTCTCTGATATTGCATCTAAAAATTTGCTTATTAAGGGAAAATTCAATGTAACCACCAAGTACTGTGTCTTGATATATTAAGTCAGATACAAATATAACGGGATTTTACAGCTTTTTAGGAATAAAGGTCTAAAAATTCATGAAAAATCCGGAGTTCTTGAAATTATTTTCGATTTCTCTAATATTAGATACAATTATTTAATATGATGTCAACATTACCACCAAGTACACTGCCTTAAGATAAGATGCTCATATCAAATATATAATGGTATTTTATGACACTGTTAGGCAGGGTTTCACCTGATTCAATTTTCAGTTTGTCCACCTCTTTCGCCAAAATAATATATTTTTCGCCACTTTCATAAACATATTTTATCGTTTAAATTTTTTTCTTCTTTGTTACACAAAAAATCATTTTACAGCATTGTTGTCTAATCTATTATAATTCTAGCGGAGACATGTAATACAATCTCTGATTCTACATATATTTTGTTTAATCTGTCTACGTTGTAACAAATAAACACTCAACAATTACAAATATTTACTTTTTTTAAAGATACTATGAAATTGCAATATAAATCATAAAATCATCATTTTTGACTTCTGGGAACACTGGATTCATTTTCAATAAGTCTATCAGATACTTTCCGTCTAGTTGAAGGACAAAGACTAAAGTCAGAGATTTTTCTTCATAACAACAGATTTCTTTTCCGGACCATCGTTAAAAGAAAAAGTTGAGACGTAAAACTATGCTTCAAACACGTGACGTTGCAAAAAAGAATGTGAAGTACCTACTACAAAACAATTACTTCTATCAAAGTTCAAGGAAAAAGACTATAAGGTCAAAGATTTTCTAACTTTTGAACATTTTTCTTCATTTAAACAGTTTCCTGTTCTGGGCCATCGTTTAAAGAAAAAGTTGAGATGTAAAACTATGATTCAAATAAAACACGTGCATCCCTATAACGATTGCTAAGTACCCACTTCAAAATAATTATTTCTATCAAAGTTTTAAAACTATCCTTAAGGTGACATATAACGCCATTTAACCACACAATTTCATTGAATCCACAATCAACACCCTTTTTTTTTAAATAGTCCATTGTTACCGATAGCTAAAAAGTGCAATCAGCTGATTATTGATTTTCTTTCACAATCGTAACGCGCGACAAGTTCAAGGTGAAATCCCAGTATCGTCTGATCAGGGAAGAAGTCCGAAAAAACTGACAACAATTAACAATATAGACGTAGTCAAACGGTTATTATTTATTCGCAAAATCTTTCGCCAATAATGAATTTTAAACGCAACAGTTTTTGTTTTTTCTCAAAGTGCGAAAATAGCAATCGCCAGCAGAAACCCATCTGTGGGATAGAATATCGAAAAATTCAAAGAAAAAAGAAACAAAATAAAAGATACCGGATTTCCTGGGAAAAAAATATTTTTAAGTTCTCTTATTTTGGATCTTATGATTTTATATTAAGCACCAATACCTTGCCATCGATTATACATTTTTTCTTTCGAAGGAATTTGCTTAAAGAAACGCTTGGATAATAGTCACCCGAGAGGCAAGATATTTCATCTTTGCTGCTCTAAGTTCGTCATCCTCGGCAACTCTGGTTGAAAGCGGAGGGGATCATTTTTTGGAAAATGTGCATACTATTTGGATATAATCTCCAATATACTATCGCTTCCCTAAAGTTTAAGACGGTTCCTAGCACCGATTTGATCAGAATTCATTGCAAGACACAACTACTGTGCATTGGTGAATATAAACATGGAGAAACATAAACAAATGATCAATTATATATATATCTGGCCAAGAAACCAGACATTTCTGTGTCATTTGGTCTCATATGGAGAGTTGTCTCATTGACAAACATACCACATCTTCTTTTTTGTATATAGTATATACATAAATTTCCAACAATTGCTCTTAGCCTGCAGATCCTATACAAACATTTATTCAACAACGAGGCACACGAGATATATTTTAGAAGTTTGGAAAAAATGACGTATGTACATGTATATTGCGAACTGTATACCAATTCCATCAACAAAATGGCCGATAGCGGGAATACTAACGAGCACATATATGAGAGAAGTCATCGTCAGAAAAATTCAAAACGGAAAGTCCTTTATCAAATGGCAAAATTAAAAGCTCAAACACATCAAACGAATTGAAAACAACTGTCATATTCCTGATTTGGTAAAGACATTTCCTTATTTAGAAAATGGTAGAATAAACCTGGTTTTATAATTACCTAAACCTCTCACTTGTATGACAGTCGCATAGATTTCTATTATGTTGACAGCAATGTGTGAGGAAAACAAACAAACATAATAGGTAAAAATGTTAAAAAACATAGAAGCATACACCTCAAGCACGGAGAAACATATTGAAAAGAGAGTATATGAAGTATCAATTCATGACAAAACTTGAGACGTCCCTTAGCAACGGTTTGAGAGGGGAATAAGAGTAGGAATATTTGTAGTGTTTTAGATATTACGTCGATGTAGTCGCTGCTTAGGTGCTGACATGATTCATAACACACTTTTGTTTTTAAATTATCAATTGAAAAATTATTAACAAAGTAAGGTTCTTAACCCCCAGTCGAGGTTGACCTTAGATTTCTTTGTTTTGAATTGCATCGGTTCGTCAGCTAGTTGATCACGTGTTCCGGTAGTTAAACATTTTTGGGGTATGTACGATCCTGATTAACGCCAATTAGGAGAAGCGCTTTGGTCGCCACAAATGTATAAATTGTTTTCTTTTCACGTTCTTTCAGGACAGACCAAATTGCCTTGTCATTTTGTAGGAACAAGAGTTTTACTGATCTGTGATTCTACCGATATTGCTTTCATCCACTACAAGACAGATAAAGCAATAATTATGGTACGTTGAGGTACTTATGTTCAATAAAAAAAATGTGCAATCGTTGAATATGTATTTTGTATGATTATTATTTTAATTCATTATACATTGTTAATCATAAATGTATGTAACCACATAAGAGTTTGTAAATGTTGGGTCTCAATCTCGTTGAATGATACCAATGATACATAATATATGGATTTCAATATTTTCTTAGGAACTTGTAAAACAAGGATTTCGTAGATTCGAAAGAGTGGACATCAATGGATCATGGAAACCAGGAAACGAAATGGATTACTTTAATGAAATTGCAGAATGTATGTTATCTAACAAATAACTACCCTTTTTTCTAAATATGACTTAAATATTAACAGTTGTATGACATGTTTATTTATCAAAACATTAATGTTATTTCAGTAAAAGGGGCGTGGCTAAATCTAAATAAACATTTTTGGGGGTTTGGTAGGCGAAGTCGTATTGCGTACTAAATTATAAGCCTGATATCCTTAATGAGTGATACATTGATTACTATTTAATAAAGAATGTTTAAAAGATAGATATTGCGTATACCTCCAAGATATAGTTATGATATATTGAATGCTTAGTGTAAATAAAATTACAACCGCAGTGACATCAAATAAATTAGTCAACGTATACGTGATACTTAAAAACGCAACTAATAAAATTCAACCATTGTTAGGAAAAAGTTAAATAACAAAAAATACCGAATTCTAAAGAAATTCAAAACAGAAAGTTCTTTATAAAATGACAAAATCAAAAGCTCAAACACATCAAACGAATGGAACACAACTGTCATGTTCGTGACCTCTCACTTCTATGACATATAGGAGTTATCTTGAATTTCAGTGAAAGGTTAAATGACTGGGACTTTGTTTTATTTTTTTATTTTTGTTTTTAAGTTTTGTCTAGTGTGACAGAAGGTAAACGCATTTTAATATTAGACATTAACATGGTATTATGATGCTGTTTAGACTTACAGTAAAGGCACATAATCTACGAATAGTCTCATACCACGTTTGTACGATGCGGTTACTTTGATTTAAGCTTGTATTATTACTATTCTCATTATGAATATATCTATGATAATCTATTTATCTATTCTTATGGTTTTTTTTATTATAAAATTTGTTTCAATTCTTTCTTTGGCTGATAAAAGATTTCTTTGGATTGTACGTTGTACCTGTCATTATACCCATTGGAAACCATTGGAAGAGCCAAAAGATGCAGATACCTATTATTCGATTAAAGGTAAAATATTGTATTGCTAAGAACAACATTTAAAAAATGATCTTAGTTTGCATTTCGCAAAGAATGCATAAATACATAAGAAATTTAAATTTCACAAATATATTTGAATGTGTTTAAATTTCACTAAATTGAACAAATCATACAAAAGATATTTATTCCGATACGTGAATATACTTAAATTTTATATTCATGTTAAAAAAAGTAATTCTCTCAATATTTTTAACAATAAATTTATGATGTTTTTGTTTGAGTTTACGTTAAAATAATTAGTCTTAGATACTAATAAATTAAAATCAGAATATTTTACAAATTATCGATAGAAGTAAAACAACTAGTCAGTGGTTAAATTGGTGTAAACTAAGTTCTCACTGTCAGATGGATAATTTCTGTCAATACACCATATTGGCAACCAACTTTTTCTTTTTTTTTATGTTGTTGAATCTCAATTTTTATGTTTTGAAACAAATTTGACACATTTCGGAATGTTTCCCATAACAAAGTTATGAAATCAAATCATGGAATGTAGTACGGCTTTATCAACGAATGTCAAAAAACGAAAAAAACAAAACAAACTATGGAACTCAGAAGAAAGAACAAAACATTGGGTTCTCGTCATGATTTTTGTTTTAGTTTAACTCCTACATTTACCATTTTATGTATACCAGAACGACATGTCCGATGTTAGTGTTTTATGGCCGGAAGACGTTGATCAGAGTTTTACAGAATACACAACAGATACTGAAAGTGAATGGCGTTTAAAGAAAACAAAATCAGTGACGGATGATTTTCCGTCTGATAGTGTTATGTCGGAAAACTGGTGTGACTTTGATATTATCGTTTGTCAGATGCTTATTAGAGGTATATTTCCACAATAAGGTATTAATACACAATTTGGATTTGAATGACTCCAGTTTAAGGAATTAATTTAGGTTTACAGACTTATTTCACATGAAATAAAAAAAAAAGAGGCGTTGGTACACATCAGACAGTCGAAACAAAGTATTTAAAGAGAAACAGACAACGCCATGGCAAAAACATGGAAGGCCACGATCGTTGTAACATGCCCGTTTTCATTTGCGACAACTTGTTTCGTAACGGTCAGACATCTTCGTAAAGTGCAAGTAAAATATTCACAGGGATGACTACCACTTAACACATGGAACCCTTTGTTCAACAGCTTCTCTGTTTGCAGCAACCCGTTTTCAAGAATGTATTGTCAATTTCTTGATACAATTCAAACTATGAACAAGTAAAAGTATTCATTCAACCATAAATTTACATATCATTAATACCAAATTGTCATTAAAGATTAATGGAAGTTAAAAAAAAAAAAATGCTCATTATAAATTGTACATCTGTTGGCTTTTTTTCTGTGTCAAATAGATACGAACTAAGAGATAGGTTCGTCCTGAAATTGATCAAAGCTACTCATGGCCTGTTTGGAAAAAATGTTTATTTTTGTCTAAAATGTTTGTCAATGAATTGGTATTTGTATTTACTGCCCACCGTATCTTTCAAAGTCTTTTGGAATATACCTCAAATATAACTTACAAAATTTAAGTGGTCAATAACAATGCATATCTATGTATAAATTGTGTTATCTTATATTTCTAGTTTATATGGACGAGGATTTAGCAGAGCAAACATTTGTAAGTTGTATTTCTCAGAGAAATAATATAAATATCCTCTAAAAAGGTGGAGGTATGATATAAACCATTATTTATTAGTTGCAAAAATAGTTATCTTAGTTACGCATAACAAAATTATGTTTATCATTTTGATTCAGAAACATCTTGATATCAAGTTGTCTCTTTAGTACAGAAAGGTTATCTGTGATTTCACTTTCACGACATAAACCTGTTGCCGTTCATATACTGACGTATAATGTTCATTTTACGCATATTTTTAGTCAAGTGATATATGAGCTGTACCCCTAAATGCTATTTTTTTAAAAATATTAACATATTGTAAAAAAAAACATTGTGTAAATTGTAGTTAAAAGATCCTAAAATGATGCTATTTTGGTTAAGATTTTGCTATTTTGCACACAATGTATTCTTGTCTTTAATTTTTGCTTATGTGCTTTGTCTATTTGCCATTTTGTTTTTCTTTGTTGAAATGATTGTTTGTTTTTATAGTGTTTACGATTATAACACGGTGTTGAATGCTGTATCCCAATGTTTTACATTTTTGCCTATGATGTCTCTTTGTTTTGTTCACACATTTTTGTCAATATAATGGAATTTTATGCGACTGTCATACAATTAAGAGGTCTAGCTAGCTATAAAACCAGGTTTAATCCATCATTTTTTACATAAGGAAATGCCTGTACCAAGTTAGGAATACGACAGTTGTTTTCCATTCGTTTGGTGTGCTTGAACTGTTATTTTTGCTATTTGATAAAGGACGTTCCGTTTCAAATTTATCTTTGAGCGGTATTTTTGTTGGTTTTACTTTTTCGACGTTTGAACACTAATTTAGACGTATTAGACAAAATAAAAAAATAAAAATATATGCTAATACCGATGTCCGACTTTCGTCTTATGAACATCTGAGGAATGTTTTTTGGTAGAATTGTAATACAATTTTGATCTGAACAGCTCAATGCGGTATGGGTTTTGCTCATTGTTGAGGAATGTATGGTGACCAATAGTTTTTAACTTCTACGTCATCTTATCTCTGGTGGAAGGTTGTCTCATTGGCAATCATAGCACATCTTCTTTTTTTTTATAATTGGAAGACCGAACAATAAATCGTAAAGACATTTTCATTCTTTAATATAATTTTCAAACTTATCCAACGCAGCAAATTCAGTGATGTTAGACAAATTGCTTGCAGTCAATTACGATCTGTTCATTCCATGTTCAGATTGTTTAGTAGTTGTTCCTTACCTGTACCCATCAACGTCATGCTGAATGTCTGAAACGCTACTGAACAATACTAAATTGACTGCAAACGAATTGTTGATTGAATTTAATGCCACATTTTTTGCGGTGGGACTACTAAACATTATGACTTCATATTTGGCCAGGAGCTTTGCAGTGATGAGTTGTAACGTATGAGCATTTTGCGGATCTGTCAAACAGTTACTTCATGTTATCCGATACTTCGAATTACGAGTAGGACATGCTCTGCACGTCAAAGGGTTCATTCTTGTATATGTTTTATTTTCTATGTCAGCACTGGTTATTTTTTTTTTCATTTAGTTAGTTGGAAAGAAAACTCACAAAAAATTCGATTTTTAATGATTGTTATTTTATATTTTACTTATGTTTCAATAACATGGCATGAATTTTATGTTTCAGAAAGAAATACATGCATACAATCATACTGCATTGTTCATGTACCTTTTGAAGAAAGGGGAGTGGAATATTCCAAAAAAGTACATAAAATGGCCAATCGATCTGAAGAGTGCTCTAGAATACATATATGAGGAGGTGAAGGTTCTAATGTTGTTAACAGTGTACAAAAAGAATGAAATAATTATCAATTAGTTATATGCGTGAATAAAAAACATCTTCATTAACACCTACATCCGGTGTTCCCCATATGAATCACAAAACAGGCTTTCAAATAAATCAGCTGTGGGTAAAAAGAACTGAGACAAATATGCACCGTACACTGAACAAATAAATAAAAGAACTGAGACAAATATGCATATAATAAATTGACTCATATATTTAACTTGATACTGTACTGCTTTACTTTATAATGAATTGACTCATATATTTAACTTGATACTGTACTGCTTTACTTTATAATGAATTGATCTAACCAATCTTTACATATTTAACTTGATACTGTACTGCTTTACTTTATAATGAATTGACCTAACCAATCTTTACATATTTAACTTGATACTGTACTGCTTTACTTTATAATGAATTGGCCTAACCAATCTTTACATATTTAACTTGATACTGTACTGCTTTACTTTATAATGAATTGGCCTAACCAATCTTTACATATTTAACTTGATACTGTACTGCTTTGCTTTATAATGAATTGGCCTAACCAATCTTTACATATTTAACTTGATACTGTACTGCTTTACTTTATAATGAATTGGCCTAACCAATCTTTACATATTTAACTTGATACTGTACTGCTTTACTTTATAATGAATTGGCCTAACCAATCTTTACATATTTAACTTGATACTGTACTGCTTTGCTTTATAATGAATTGGCCTAACCAATCTTTACATATTTAACTTGATACTGTACTGCTTTGCTTTATAATGAATTGGCCTAATCAATCTTTACATATTTAGTGTTTATTTTAAAAAGGAGTATGAATATATAAAGGAATTATGGTCAAACCAGAAATGTTTTACCGACATGGATTACAAACTGCCTGATCACAAAGGTTTGTATCAAATAGTAATATAGCGAATACTTAAATTGATTAAAATTAAACCTTGACACCAATATTATTATTCGAATATTTAAAGTATTACTCTGATTAATCTTCATCCTAACAAAAACTAAAAAATGAAACCATGGTTATTTCATAGATGTCTTTGTGACATACAATTGTTTGTCTCCATACTGAGTTGTGACTTTCTTGTTAAAGATTTGGAAGTATGCAATTAGGTAAATATTCTAATGTAAATTAGGACTTCCTGTATTAGTCAAGTGCCTGATACATTTATTAAATTTGAGATAACTTCATCCAATATAACCCCGATACAAATAAATCCAGAAGTTGTGCTTTGCGATGCGAGAATTCAGACAACATTTTGGCGTGTCAAATATTTCGAAAGCCTTTTAAATTCATATATCTATAGCTTTGTAGTTGATTTCATTTAACAATATTTGATTTGATTGTATCTTCTGTTTTTGTTCAGGCTAGTTTTGTTTCGTTTTGCTTTGCTTTGTTTTGTTTTGTTTTGTTTGTTTTGTTTTGTAGTACTTACTTCAATTTAGTTGAGCATGGCATATATAAATATAAAAAAGATGTGGTATGATTGCTTAATAGGCAACTCTTCACCAGGGACCAACTGACAAAAGTTAACAATTATATACAGCCTTCAACAATGAGCAAAACCCACACCGCATAATAAGCTATAAAAGGCTTATATAATATATAACCGGGAACATTTGTGTAAAAGTACAAACTATCAAAATCAGTTAAAAAAGGCTTAACTCACCAGTTCGATACGAAGAACATAACAAAAACATAACAAAAAAACAAAAGAAAGTACAGATCTGAGAGTCCTCGCAGTTACTGAAAGCTAGTTAAAGGTCAATAACAACTAATAAAAAATGTCTAAGACTAAAATATTAATCAATACACGCCCAACATCCAATGGATTAAGTGTTAAAACGTCATTAACAGTCAGAAAAAAACATGACCTTGTGTAGTAAAATGACTTCAGATATTAATCTAATAGAATAGAGTTATATTATTAAATTGGTCATTTATAGTATAAGTTTACCGGAGCCATTTACAAGTCCGGAAACTGATTCATAGCACCATTTGGAATGGTTTCATTTATAATTTGTATAACAGATTTACAATTAGAAGAATTATGATAACTTAAAAGGAAATGATAAAGTCGTTAAAGTGTGAACATGTACGAGAGTTGTATTAGCTAAGATATGTACATTTTGTAAACGCTTTACGATGTTCCTGCTAGAAAATAGGACGTTGACAAAAAGTTGTAATCATTATGTTTGTGATAGATTATAGCTAGACGTCCTTAATTTTTGTCAAAATCTAGGAAAAGATGAAGGACTGAAGCACTTTCTGATTACGGGATTATCCTGAATCACAAGTTTACTACGATATATGAGATGCAAGCACTCACTGAAATGAAGGTATTGATTGACTGGAACCCTCAATATATCTGAAATTGAAATTGAAGATCTTTGCAAGATTTTTTTTTTCTATTTTTCTTCAATTCTGCTTGATATGAGTAACAAAACCAAGTATACCAGTATGGGTGCAAAATAAGAAGCATTGGCATACCGGGGGTTGAGATCTCACAAAACATGTTTAACCCCGCCGCATTTTTGCGCCTGTCACAAGTCAGGAACTTCTTGTCTTTGTTAGTCTTGTATGTTTTTTTTTAGATTTTGGTTCGTTCATATGTTTCGGAATTTAGTGTGACGTCCATTTTCTCTGAACTAGTACACATTTTTGTTTAGGGGCCAGTTGAAGTCGGTCTCCTGGTGCGGAACTTTCTCTCTGTATTGAAAACCCATTGGTGGGCTATTGTCTGCTCTTTGATCGGATTGCTGTCTCTTTGACATATTCCCCGTTTCCATTCTCAATTTTATTTAGTACGTGTATCCGTTTAATACTTCATTTATTGATTTTATTTCTAACTGTAAGTCTAAAGTAATCTTATAAAAATCTGTGTCTTATATATTACCTTATTTACATTTTATTAGTAAATGATATCAAATGATGCTGTTTGTTTTAAAGGTTTTACTGGACCAGAAGCAAAGCTTATGAATAGGGATTCTGAATGTTACGGTCTTGTATTTTTGGCTTTGCTGCATAAACAGTACTGGATTGGTGCCCAACAGCTTGTAGACTTGGAATATGTAAGTTCAAATGAAAAGATTTTTTATAAAAAGAAAAAGAATCAATATAGAACCGACCAGTAAATCGTTGACTAATAGCACTTAGTATGCAGTAGTATTTCACGACATTTGAATACTCATTTCTAATTCAGATCAAAGGCGGCAATATATGGAAAGAACATTATTTCCTACGAGTATTCAATGCATCTCTAAACAGAAAAAAATGAACTGGTTTCCGATGTCTTAATGTGTGATAGCTAATATTTCCAATCCGTCTATGTGTAGATTTGTTATGTGGAACTGAAAGAATTAAGTACAATAATTTAAAAAAAAACAATAACATATAAGAATACTAAAATTCCAACAGGTTCTGTAAATATGGGAAACATTAGTTTACCGAGGTTATCATATCGCGAAAACGATTATAGTCAACTTTCCTCAAATTTCTGTTGACGCGGTTGATGTGTAAGGGTAACACCCATGTGGGTTATTGAGTGAAGGGATATCATCAGTATGTCTGAAAGTGAAACTAAAGAACTTTGCAAGGTGCATTTTGTTTTGTCTTTGACAAAGTTCTGTATGAATTCTGCTTTATACTGGTACAAAAAGAAGTAAGCAAGTTAGTATTAGTAGTGGCGGATCCAGCAATTTTCATAAAGGAGGGGGGGCACAGACTGCCACAAGAGGGGGCACACTTAGTCATGCTTCAGTGATTCCCTAAATAATCAAACACATTTTTCCGACAAAGGGGGGGGGGGGGGGGTACCCTGCCCTCCCTAAATCCGTCTCTGATAAGTAGTTCCCCTTAGAATACCGACTGTTGAACTATCAATCCACCAAACTCAACCACAGTGTCGTTTAAAAAGTCAAGCACATTCATTATGTCTTTTTTATTGTATTTTTTTTGTTTAAATCGGTGTAATTTTTTTTTTTTACAAAATAAGATTAATCACGGCCATAAAAAGGAATTTGTATCTACGATCCCCATTTTTGTAAAAAAAACTCTCTGTTTCATGAGACGATGTAGTCGATCTGTCATTTGTGCATAGGTAATAGTAGTGCCATTCGTAGAAAATTAAAAACATTTGATATAACTGCAAAACAATAAATATTCTGATTAAAGATTTTGTAGTAGATCTTTAGAATTCTTAAGAATCCACATATGACCTACGCCGCTGGTTGTACATACCTCATCATAATATATTCAAAGGTCATCTTTTACTGCAAAAAGAATTGAACATATGGTAGTCGGTATTTAAACATTCGATTTTCAAATGTTTGGCTTTATTTACATTTTACTTGCATTGGACCATTACCGCTGCTGGTATACATGTTTAATCTTTGTTCTAATTCCGATACATCCAGATACTTCTGGAATTGTAGTTCATCATACAATCCTTTTATTATTAACTGTTGAAATAGTTTCTACTCTCATGTATAGAATAACAAATTGAAAACAACACGTTTAATAATTTCATGCGTCCGAAGCGCTTTTCTGGATTTACCTTCATCAGGAACGCTCAAAGCCAAACATTTGATATCCGAGGGATGTATAAGTACCGAAACAGTTGAAGAGCTTTATGACAAAAAAACCTAAAATAAATAGCCAAATTCATCTAAGGTCAACTTTGTCTGAGGGAGTTGAAACCTTAGTTTCTTTATAATTTCAAAACTTATAAACAGACAATTTTAGAAAGGTTTGTTATAAATCATGTCAGTACCGAAGTACTGACTACTGAGCTGATGATACCCTCGGGGACTGATAGTCCACCAGCAGAGGTATCGACCCAGTGATGTAAAAAATTGAAAACAACACGTTTAATAATTTCATGCGTCCGAAGCGCTTTTCTGGATTTACCTTCATCAGAAACGCTCAAAGCCAAACATTTGAAATCCGAGGATGTATATAGCTGACATAATCCGTATTTGTTACGACTTTAAAAATAGGGGTTTGAATGCTCTTTAACTGCATACTGAATGTTCGCCTTCCAACTTTGTTAATTAAAGCGCTACTGAAAATTCGTATGAAGACGAAATACAACTCAAATTAAAATACCAATTTTAGAACGATACAATTTTATTTGTTAAACGCCCGTCTGACGCATTAGATTACAAGCCTTGTAGATGTGATGAGTTTATATCAAGGAAATTATCATATAGTATACCCTTACAGAAACGCTAACGATACCATACATCATATGACGAAAGAAACGCTGCACGATATATTACGACGAACGAAAGGCTAATTTATACCATGCGCTAAATGATACAATATAATATTAAATAACGAGAAGCTGTAGTTAACTAGATGATTATCTATATAATGAACGAATGATGTATGGAGATACACGAATATTGTACTAACAATGCTCAAACGCTATAAGGACGATCCAAGAATGTTGAAAGAACGATGCCCGACTGAAAAAAATATATTTACTCTTACGTTAATTTATATCTGAAAAACTCGTATTACAAATTGTGTTAAGAAGCGAAGAATCAAACCACAAAATATCAGTTTATTCGATGAAGTTTATTTTAAAAAATGAGAACAAACAAAATATATAAAATATATATATCTATATATATAAACAAGTCTAAATTGAAAACAACTTTCAAACCTATGGTTGCGTTGGATAAAAACCGCAATTTTTATACGTGTGCATGCAAAACAAATTTCATGGTAGAGGGGTCTAAATACAGCACAAACAACATTTTCCAAAATACCAAAAAAGTGAAAAAGTATATTTTAACAAAACGCATTTGACTAGCAGGTCGAACAACGGATGTTCTTAAACCCTGCTGACTGCCATGGCGATTGCCAAATAAACGGATCACCAGATGTAACAAAATGGATCTTAATTCTTAATTTAATACCAAACAGAAAACAATATAGGTTCAGATATAATACCTTATAAAAGATGACCAAATTAACATTTCTTCATTCAGATTGGGAATCATCATCTTCTTGTTGGGTGTGCTATATTAGAAGATGAAATCAGAAATTGGAAAACAGCGACACACTTGAAGGAAAAACTACAACGTTTAAAAAAGTAATGATGCAAATAAAATAAAACATATTACAACGTGTTTATTACTGATTGATTGACTGCTGACTTAACGCCCAGTTGCAATTATTTCATGCGTTTAAAGGACGAATGCTTTAAATACCTCGACGTAGTGTATGCTTCTTGTGTAGCCAAAGCATTAATGTTGGCAATCAAATGTCAATTTTGCGATGAGATGTGCATTGTAGCATAGGTCTCAAAAAACATGTTTAACCCCGCCGTATTTTTGCGCCTGTCCCAAGTCAGGAGCCTCTGGCCTTTGTTAGTCTTGTATCATTTTTAATTTTAGTTTCCTGTGTATAATTTGGAGTTTAGTATGACGTCCATTTTCACTGAACTAGTACACATATTTGTTTAGGAGCCAGCTGAAGGATGCCTCCGGGTGCGGGAGTTTCTCGCTGCATTGAAGACCCACTGGTGGCCTTCGGCTCTTGTCTGCTCTATGGTCGGGTTGTTGTCTCTTTGACACATTCCCCTTTTTCATTCTCAATTTTATTTAATAAATCTGATATTAAAAGACTAATTTAAAAGTAGCGTTTACGTTAACATCAACAGCTTATTACGACCTAAAGGTACAGTTGACGTCACTGATTTGGTCATGCATTTAAAAAAATATAAAAACATATGATTAAATGACAAGCCCTCATTCAAAATAGCAATTTTAAATTGCTCAGAGATTAGATGATTTGTGAATATCTTCAAATGAAATGACTAGAAATTTGAATCTTAATAAACAATATTCCACATAGAAATGACTTGCTTGTTTTGTAAATCTACTTAGCAATTTCTTTTCTGCATGAGTGTTTATTGCTTGATTTTATGTGTATCTAGTTAATTCAAAAGAAGAAAATGAGATACGATTGCCAATAAGACAACTTTCCATAGGACAAAGATATTAACAATTACATGTCATCTTATGGGCCTTTTTAAATGCGTGAACCAAACACCATATAGTAAGTTTTAAAAGACAAAATGTGACACATTTCAGAAGAAAAAAACAAATTACCTGATTTATACTATAAGAATGAATGATTAATGATAAGGCAGACAGAAACTAACGACAAACAACGGATAACATGTGGCTGGCTTGGAAAAGTCACATAAACAACGACAAACAACGGATAACATGTGGCTGCCTTGGAAAAGTCACATAAACAATGTGTTTGTAAACCTTCCCCTATGTTGTAATGTAACTTCAATTGTTAACAATAGTTATAAGTGAAGGAGATGTGGGAGGTATATATATATAAGTCTTTTCATTTTGTTAATATATTGTTCAAGTGTCTTCACTGAAAGAGTTATCTGCATAATTCGGCATATCTATGATGCTGATGTTACAAAGGAACGAAAGAAACAAATGACAATTAAAGAGAACAAAACAGAAGAAAGAGAGCTGGGTGATGCCATCAATCATGCAGGAAGGCTTTTGTTGAATCATGGATATCTAATGGATGCTATCAACAGTAAAAACCAAAATTTCGTTGAAAACGACACAGTAAAGAAAATCTTAAAAAAGATGTGGTATGGTACAGAGAATATAGATGGTCATACGGTAAGTAAACAAAACTAACATTTCATTGATATAATTAATCCGTTGGCTTGTTTATATCTAAAATCGTTCCGTTACGGGGAGAGATGAGGAAAGTAAGGAAGCGAATGCAAGACAAGGAGAATCTCAAATATGTAGGAACGAACTAATTGACAATCAAAAAAATGCTACCTTACCCACACATCCCCCCAAAAAAGGAGAAAGCAATAGACAAAAAGAAATACGCAAAACAACTTCATCAAATTTTTCGATAATTTTCAAAATGAGCAGAATAATTTGAATACTAGGGCAAATATCTAAACAATGTAGAACATCCAAAAACAAGAGAATACCAACGTGAAAATACAAAAAGACATTTTAATCATAACGAAACGATAGAACGATATATATATATATGCCATCAAGTTTTCGAAAAACGTAGGATTTTCTACTGCAGGAATTGATACCTAGCTGTATTTGGCAAAACCTTTCGGAATTTTAGGTCCCCAATGCTCTTCAACTTCGTACTTTATTTGGCCTTTAAATATTTCGATGTCACTGCTAAGACTTTTGTAGATGAAACGCGCGTCTGAATGGTATCTATGATGAGGTTATGAAAATATAAGATCATTGGTGTTACAATTGGTAAACAAGACTAGAACCTAAAGCTACATTAAATATGTAATAAATGTTTTGTTTTCAGACTTTTTGGTATATTGTTCTGTTCTCAGTCCATCTATTTGTGATGCCTTTATTAATGATTAACATGGAGATGGATAATCGTCTATTACTTTGGTAAGATAAATTTTGCAACTCAACATCCTTCTTTATTACAATAAATGCAATTATCGCTATTTTGTGCATTTTTCCTTTGATCTTTTTGGTGATAATTTTTCATATCATGCTACTCGCTGGAGATGGAATATTATCGTCAGAAACTAAGGGCGCACGTGACGTTGTCAATGTAAACATGAACGACCTCATTGGCAAAATAGCGATAAACAAATAATCAATGGTCTTTCAAACTCGAGGATGTTTATCAGCCACATCTCATCTCAGGGCTGTCGCCCTTTCGAAAAATCATCAATAATCTATAATTATGTATCTGTTAAAATATGTATTTCATTGAACTATATCAAAACGTTTAATGAGTTCTATCAACCCTAATCACACCTGACTTGATATCGTTTTTGCTTTCCAATAAGATAATTACTATCGTTCATGTTACTCTTTACGTATCTTATTATATCCTTGTCATACTCAGCTTTCGCGCGTGATGTCCGATGCCACTTGAAGGGAGAGTGCTATGATCTATGCACGTTAAAAACCCATTTAAATAACTCTTAATAGTTGTCCCTATCCATTGTTGTCTGTGGCAGGTGTTCATCTGTAAATTCATCGCCTCGTCCTACTAAGCAGAATTTATTGCTAATGCTTAATGTGTCAAATCCTTAATTTGCGTTATATGTATTCAACTAGTTGTTGAAAAAACAGCGACCAACCTATCACATAGAATATGTAAGAGTCCAACCCAGGAACCCAAAAGCAATATTTTTGTGTCGAGACCTTCATTTCGCTATGCAGATTCACTCCAAAATTCTTCCATCACATCATGCAAAAATGGGAATGGTAAATATGAATACCTTGGTTTCGGTCATGATAAATCTAACTTACTTATAATCACACGCAAGACTATAGTCACCAAAGATTATATCATAAAAATGCTGGACATTTTGATCGACAATATATAAGTGTTGAATTTTGTCGATCGATATTTCAACGAAAATTGTAATTTTGTGTGCACTGTAGGAGAAGTTTAGCATATATAAATCGGACTATGTTTTTGCTGATAAACCCTAACATTGACCTTTGGTTGATTTGAGAGCCTTATCTTACAGATTCTCGGATATTGAAGTTTTCACATCCTTGGGATTCAAGGGTTCGGGTTTGTTCTTTCCTAATGACATGCATAGTAACTAGCTATACAGGTATCATGAGAGTAACTATTTTTTATTCCGGTAACCATTCTAAAATAATCGTTAACTTTTCAATTTATTTCAGGTTTTACAAAAAGTACAAGCTGCCATTCATGAAAATATTTATACATTCGGTATGAAAGTTCATATTTTACACAATTTGCAAACCTAAACAATGTAAACATTACAGTTGCCTATAATTGCTAACATCCACTTCACTTGAACTTTGGTGGATAGTTGTCTCATTGGCAATCATACCACATCATATCATTATTCATGATTTTACTATTTTTTTGGTGATGTTGTACCCTTCTCGACTTGCTTATTATATTTTGTAGTGTACTGTATCATATTTATATGATCCATCGCCTCGTAAGATTTATCGTTGGCTATTATTCAGAAATTTTCTATTTATCATTAGTACATAATACTTGTAAATCTTTTTGTTTCTAAGAAATGCATTCACTTAATTGTGTTCATTGTGTCTTGTCTTTTGTCACAAGATTACTCAATGTTTTGTTTAAGTATTCAACTGGTTAATCGATACACACTTGACTTGTTTAAAATTTACCTTTCAAACCAGTCAATTTCGTTTTATCAACAATCAACGTATTAAAAGTTACATAAATATGTCGTATTCATACAGCATCAAAAAGTTTCTATGTTTCTGCATGGTACGCTACTAAAGTCCGTCAACGAATAACACATTAACCCCAAAAAAAAATCACGTCAGCATAATATCAACAGTTGTAATTTCAATTTAGACTACAAAACATTGCAAAGCTAAGAGTGTGTAACAAATATTTTCTAAATAATGACGCTATGGCAATATATTTTTGTAATAACATTTGTTTTGTTTATTAATGTTACAGCTGGAATTCACTTTTCTCCTTCTTGCATATGCATACATGTTGCTGTTTGACTACAGAGAAGATGGAATCACCTATATTGACTTTATTATAATAGCGTGGATGGCTAGTTTCTTTGTAAATGAAACAAAACAGGTGACCTCTTATGTCGACAGTAAAATATGTCCAAAATCTCATGCTTTTTCTCAACTGTTTCCTTGATTAAACAGTTGAATCTTATTCATATTTATGATAATTTTACTTATACTTAATAATCATAATATCAATTGTTGAACCTTTCCGCCCTTTAGACGCATTCCTTATTACAAACTAATAGAAATATTGTATCACTGATGGCAGAGTAGAAATGAATGACAAAATGCTATACATTATATATATATATAACTCTTTCAATTAAGACAAAACCGTGTCTGGACTTGCGTTGCTGTACGCAAATAAATAAGGTAACATGCATACTGAATCATAACTGATCATGCCCTCTCATAGAAGAACAGTCATTTTAACGAAATATTTCATTGTTAAACGAGTGTGGTAAAATCGAACTATCGGCAGACAAGAATTTGCTGTACGGCAGATGTAAAAATATCTCACATGCTACAACTCAACATTATCAAGCTGCAGACCAAATATAAAATAATTCTTTTGCAGAGATGCAAAACAGGTTTCATGAAAGTTTTATCTTACGCTTAATATTTGACGGACAGGGTCAATTGAAAACTGCGACAAAGGAGATGACTTCAATCTACCATTATGAACATTCTATGCTCATGTTAAAAGGTTTCAAAAGAACTTAATATGGAGTTTATATACATTTGTATATTTTGGTTATTTTTTACTTTGTCTTCCCCTGTATGATTTTCTGAAAAGCGTGTTGTTGTTTACAAGTTAGCTCCTGATACATGGTGTCTAGATTATAACGACGGGTGCCACATGTGGAGCAAGATCTACTTACCCTTCCGAAGCAATTGAGATCACCAACCGTTTTTGGTGGGGTTCGTGTTGCTCAGTTTTTAGTTTTCTATGTTGTGTTTTGTGTCCTATTGTTTGATGTTTGTCTTTTTCTTTTTTAGTCATGGCGTTGTCAGTTTATTTTCGACTTAGCAGTTTGAAGGTCCCTTTTGGTATCTTTCGCCTTTCTTTTATCAAGTCACTCTCAGTTTTGTAGAAGTGTAATGGACAATATCACTAATGACTGGCTGTAATTATAAGTGTGCTATTTATGAATGATACCTTATCGGAATAGTAGTAGTGTTATAGTTTATAGAATATGAGTAAAAGTTTGAAGAAGGTGAGTAATAGTTTATAGAAGGTGTGTAATAGTTTATAGGAGGTTAGTAATAGTTTATAGACGGTGTGTAATATATAATAGGAGGTGTGTAATAGTTTATAGAAGGTGTGTAATATATAAGCTTAAATTGGTTCCGTTTAACATACATGTCTATTTTGTTTTAGGTTATTGTTGCTTTAGTAAGAAAAAGAATCAAACCATATTTTCGTGATTGGTGGAACATAGCAGATTGCATTTTGATTATAGGATATACGTCTGGAATGCTACTGAGAGCTGTTGAAGGATCTTTTTTCCGAACTACGTCAAAATGTTTATTAGTTGCAATATTTATGCTTATTTGCATAAGATTACTCAGTTTGTACTACATAAATGAGTTTCTCGGACCAAAGTTAATCATAATTCGAATGATGGTATGTAAGACTATATAAATCCGAAGATGTGGTATGAGTGCACATGAGACAACTCTCCATCCAAGTCACAATTTATAAAAAGTTAACAATAATAGGTAAAAGTACGGTCTTCTAAACGGAGCCTTGGCTCACATCGAACAGCAAGCTATAAAGGACCCCAAAATGACTAGTATAAAACAATTCAAGTCTTGCAACAGGCCACCTACGGACCCCTCAAAGTGTTGTTGCAAGGGTTCTAAACGTGCAGAGAGCGTGACATTCTCTCTACAAGAGGCATCGGATTTAACATCCCCATTCTGACCGGATTTGGCTGCGTACTTGTACATCCCGCTTAGCTAAACGGACGCCCCACCTCGGTAAGGGTTTTACTGCTGGTCTAAAGAAGACCTGTAGTGACCATATTTCTATTCCCGAGTCACCCTTTGAGGTTATGGGAATAATAAGTTTCTTTGTTATTTTCGAATCGTAAGGTTTAATATAATCTCAATAATTCAATATTACGGACAGTCGGAACTGTTGCCTCTCATCCACTTACTTGCTATTGCAAGGTATCAAGACACTAAGTTGTTAACCTAACTTTTTACTCCATTTCTTCAATTTGTGTTAGCATTTTTCTACTGAACGTTTTACCAAAACTATTGTAGTAAATAAAAATATTCAAATCAAATGATCAACATCATTATCACAATAAAAGTGATACTTTTCGAGCTGCCGAGGCTAAAATTTACAACATGAAAATCTGAATTTGCTTTTCAAATCAGAGAAGAACAAGTTTTCCTACTTAGTGATATTATTGGGTTTTTTTTATTTATGTACGGGTCATGTTTGGTATATTCTAATTTCAGATTAACCATACTATTGCATTCATGACAATTATGTTTGTCATAATGTTTTGGTACAGCGTGTCTTTTTATGCGCTTCTATATCCGAATTCTGAGGCTAGCTGGACAGAGATCGAAAAAATTTTATCGAATGGATATTGGATATTATTTGGAGAAGTGAACTTAGAAGCTGATACATGTAAGAGTCAAATAAATATTTCATTACCTTAAGTACTATTTTGTCAAAATGAGAAATGATATGCAAGACAAGTCCATGCAATGAGGAATTACAACCGGAACTAGGGAAGATATAACATCTATCATTATCTAATTTTTTAAATTGATATGTGTACCTATTTTGTTACGCTACTGCTTATTACTTTAACAATATGGTTTATAATTTCGATTTCGTATAGAATGATGCAACTATTATCACTTTCCTAAATGTTAAAGGTACCGTCATATATATTTTTGAGTCAGGAGGGTTTTGGTATTAAGGATCGTTTTGTTAGCAAGAACAAGGTGCAAGTAAACTTTCGTTTGATCTGTTTGAGCTTGTGATTTTGCCTTTTGATAAACACACTTTCCGTTTGGAATTTTCCTTGGAGTTCGGCATTTTTGCTATTTTACTTTTTTACTGTATTTTAATTTTAAATTTAACTAAAATGCTAATTTATTGTGTAAAGTTCACGTGACATTCACGTGAAAATACTCATGTGAAATTCAACTCAAACGAGATTATACGTGTAACTCACATGAAAAAATTTACGTTAATTTCATGTGAATTAAGATTCACATTAATTTCAAGTGAAATTTTTCACGTGAATTTTACTTGAACTTTATAAAGAAAATATGTATTTTTCATGATTTTAATGGTGTTTAAATACCTTTTTTGAAAATTAACGTAAACAAATTCATGTGATTTTCAGTTCAGGTGAGTTTCGCGAATTAACTCGTTTGAACTGAAATGTTATTGTGTGAGCCAGTGTATAACGAAATCTTTAAAACGAAATAATATAAATACAGCAATAATACTGATTTTAAGAAACATGTCATTTTGTACATAAACAAAAGGGAAAGACGGGTTTCAGAAGGTCGTTGGTTTCCTGCGGGGACTCCGGCTTCCTCCATCCATAAAAACTTACCGCCACGAAATAGCAAAATAGTGTTGAAAGTGGCTTTAAACACCAATCAATTAATCAATAGAACACTTTACGGACGCCATCATGAGTTGGTTGACCGATATGCAATATTTTTTTCACATATGACGACGGATATGTACCAATTGTTATAACCACATTCATTCCCGTCCTCTTGTCATCGATTTGACCTACCGAATAAGAGTTATTATCGTGTTTGTACCTACAAGAGAAACACAACGGGTGCCACATATTGAGCAGGAACTGCTTACCGTTCTTGAGCACCTGAGATCACTCTCAATTTAAGGTGGGGTTCGTGTTGCTCAGTTTTCTATGTTGTGTTTTGTATACTATTTATCTGCTTTTCAGTTCGTTTTCGACTCATGAGTTTAAATATCAATTTAGCATCTTTTAAAATATATAAATCTTTTACTTTCCGAATACGGTACTCCTACTGGTTTATTATTTGCAGCATTTAAAAAGCGTGTGCTTTTGCTGTTTGATTTGTTTCAAGGAAAAAGACTAGATAGATCAAACTTTAATTTACATAACTTAATAGATACACCGTCAAGAAATCTAGCGCGGCTTTAATCAACTTTGATCTAATAAATGCATAAAGATTTTATATCTGTGTATATATATTTTGGTTAACGCAAGTAAACATTTTGAGAGCAGATGTGAAATAAAATTTGCAAGATGTTTTTGGTAGTTCATCTTACGTAAAACCTGTTTATTTACGAACACATTTTACTGTGACAGTCTTAAAATCATTTTTGTGGAATTGATTTTGTTATTATATAAATATACATGATTCATACACTTTATTTTTATCTGTTTTCTATTTTGTGAAACTATGCTAATCGGTTTTTTTATAACAATTGTGACATGGTTAAGATTATTATACTATCTATCTTCATAAATAAGATATACTTTCTTTTCCCGCAATAAAATTGAGACACCAAATTGTATATTAAACTTGACATGTTTTGAAAGAGCATAAATTATTAGATTTGTAAATTATAATAATAAGAACAACTCTTTCTCAAGTGAAATGTACAAAATTGTTTGGTAAAATTAGTTTATTATTGCTTCTCTGTTTCTAATTTTGTGTCTCATTCAATCTTAGTGACTGAACCGAACTGCACCTTCAACAAGACAATATATGAAAGTGATGTGAGTGGAGTTTTACCGCGATGTCCAACGAAACTTGGTTTATACATTACACCTTACTTAAAAGCCCTTTACGCATTGATAGCAGTGGTCATAATGCTGAATCTTTTGATAGCTATGTACAGGTATAAAGTAAATGGTATACGCTGAACAATGCAAAAAAACATGATATTGAATGTGCTCAGATCTATACAAAAGAGAGGCTAAAAATACCAGAGGAAAATTCAAACTCAGAAGTCATTGCCAATGGAAAAAACGAAAAACGACCAAACGACAACCAATTATATACAAAACAAAACATAAAAAACTAAACTAAGGAAATATTGAACTAATAAATATGCTTCTAATCACAGAAAACACTTACAAATGTAGTTATTTTGTTTGTAGTCCTGTCTGCTTCGTTAAACAAATATTATCTGTGACAACGGATTAACACATTTCGTCAACAAGGGTTTCCCTCGGTTTTAGTTTGTTACCCGGATCTGTTTTTTCTCAATCGATTTATGACTTTTGAACAGCGGTATACTACTGTTGCCTTTTTTTACAAATCCTGTAGTCAGCACTTTGGTATTGATACATGTATGAAAGATAACTGAATTCATTTTTTTGTAAATGTAATGTTTTTAAATGTTAAATTATTTGGAACACTAATATTTGTCTATCCTCAGGAATAGATCGTATTATCCGTATCGCACAACTTATCGGAATTTTTGGTTTTTAATACTCTTCAACATTGCATTTGAAAAAAGTATGACAAAAATACTGAACTCCATGATATATTCAAAAAGTGGAAGTCCATAAAAACTGACAAAATCAAACGTTTGCAACCAAATGAACGAGTGGAAAACAACTTTCATATTCCTGACTTGGAACAAGCATTTTCCGAAAATGGTGGTTTTATCTGGTTTTATAACAAAATAAACCTCCTACTTGTATGACAGTTGCTTATATGTCCGTTATATTGACAAAATGTTGCTGAGCAACCCAAACAGACATATTTTCCAAAGATAAACACATATTGTTTGTAAAACGAATTTTGACACCTTTGCTCAAATGAATTTCAGTAACATTTTTGAGGACGTCCATACAAAATCGATGATTTATTGGTCGGAGCTACAGACATCTTTTCTTGAGGAATATAGTATTCAAACAATATTTCCAATACACCTCCAGTTACTTACCTTACCGGGAACCGTAGTTGCAATTGTGTGGCTTCTCTGCGCAAATCTACGACAACAGAATTCTGACGAAACTGATCGTACTAAAGAGCTTAATCATCACCCACCATTTGTCAGAGGTATAGTGCACTTTTAAAAAATAGAAGGTTTTCGAAAAGTTTGTTTAGATAAGTCAATTTGCAGACATTTCAAAGAAAGATGTACACTTAAACTTTTACAGTTATAACCTCAAGTGCAAATACAAATGCGAAGAATCAATCAAGGTAAATAATTAAAAACTGGGGGAATCAAATGAACACTAAACGGTTGCTTCGAAAGGGTAAGCGTCTGTTAGTATGCCATCAATCGCAATGCGTATCCACACTTACTCACAACAAATGTCACAACTATGAATAGTACCTTGTCTGTAATGTCACATATCGCACGACTATTCTGTTATCCGAAAGTCTATGACAGCAAAAACATGTCGCTATTGAGTTTGTACACAACATAGCGTATCGGTCAACCATTTCATTCCGTTAAACCTGTGTATGTTGATATCAGTCGTTTTCCACTTAATTGCGTTGATTGATTGATTGATTGTTGGTTGTTTAACGTACAGTGGCAAATATGTCATGCATATTCAGGACGAGAACAAATTAACAATTAATACAATAGGTAAGTCCTGTAATAGAGACGGTCCGGGATGAAGGTCGGTAAAAATTTGCGAGGGTTTTACTGGGGTCGGTGGAAGAACAGTGGTGACCATATTTCTATTCGCTAGTCACCCTTGGGGGGGGGGTGTAACTGTGTTGAAGCATTTTTTAATCATGAAGCATGTATAGTGTGACGATACACGTGCGTAAAGAATTGTTTAAAATATGTTAACGCTATGACAAAGAGGGTAAGTTGCTGCAGAGAAATGGTAATTTGATCAAGTCTGCTATTTTACCTTGAAGTTGTCGATCTGTGTCAAATTGGAAAATTGAAGATGCTTAGTAGTCCTTGTTTTGGTGATATCCTTAAGAAGGCATTTTAATGTAAAAGTACTTATGACCTGTAATGGTTTACTTTTACAAATTGTGACTTGGATGGAGAGTTGTCTCATTAGCACTCATATCACATCTTATATGTATATTACGATTTTAGTTATCTAGTGTTGACTCTTCTCAAAAATATTTATTTTGATAGAAATAGGTGTTGTTCACTTTATTCGTGTATTTAAGTGAAGTTCCAATTACAGAATATTCATTCATTGTTTAAAAAGACATTAAACCAGTGTCCCTATATTACATGAAGTCTTAAATGAAAAATATATGAAAAAATTAAATTAACTATTGATAGTTATCGTAAAAGGTTTTGATGCTTTACTTTCAGTTTTTCTCTTTGATTCTAATTATGATTTGAAACTTAAATCGACAGAAGCAGAGGAGACAAAGGCTCAAAGAGACCAAGGGTAAATATACTATCCAATGCATTATTGTCTATTTGTAGTGTATATTTGAATGGTGTGTAATGAATTTTAGAGACAGTGTGTTCTTCTTTTTCTTTATTTGAAATCTAATCTTCCCAAATAAGAATTATATTTTCCTTTAAAATACATGTTCTCCATGTTGTCTATGTGAAGAAAAAATTAATAGAGCTTGATTAATGTTTAAACTCTTGTTGGTATGTGTTTTCGTCGTCAAGTGGCCAATATTACAAAGAAGTAAGGACGGTGTCACACTTAAGGATGTTTTCAGGTGAAATTTTAAAAAATTTGGAATTTAAAATTCATATTATAATTCAGAAGAGCATTGGTTAAGAAACAAAATAATCTCAAAATAATGATAGGTTATGGCACTCCTTTTCGAGATATTTGATTTTTAAAAAATGGTGGGATAAGTTTGACTTGGACTTTAGCCTTATATTTAGCATTGACATTATTTGGATCTCAAATCGTAAGAAAGGAAATCTAGAATCTGCTTAAATTTTAGTAACGACCTTTTATGAGCTATTTAAGTCTTCTAGGAAAAGAAAAGTGGGTGATATGGGGCAAAATATTTTACCTTGTATCGTAGGAAAAACCCAAGGAGTCCGAACAACTGAAAAAAATTCCTTAACCTGAAATGACTACATCCTTAAACTTGAAACATCAAGTTATAATGTGTGCAATTAAAGGATCGGAAAAAAAGAGAAAACATTAAGTTTTTGGTTTTTAGTTTGCATATATAATGTGTATGTTTTTAAGGTATAATGACAATGATGATCTTAAATTTCCTTCTTAATATTTTCCATAAATATAGATAAAGTCTAGTTGTCCGAGTGGCGTAGGGTTATGGCCAAAGTGTTGGCCATGTCTCCGCTGAGGGGAGAATATTTCAGATCTAACATTGTTAAGGTCACCACGTATATTTCAAATTAGTTGTTCCTACTCGAGCCGTTCGTTTTCTGAAATCATGTAATAATTGGTTTGATGATTTAAGATCTGTCAAGAATTCATTTGAAATAAAGAAAAAAAAAACATTTGCTATAATGTGCATTTTCTTTTTATTACGGATGACGATTATTTTTTTTTTTTGCAGGAAAATAGATGTTAACACAGTTACGGTAAACCTTTTCTTTTGTTTAACAGTATTTAATTTTGATTGTCGAATACGAGTGATCGATTTAGATGTAAATATATAATTAAATCATACATGTCATATACATCAATTCGTTATACATATGTTTTTATACAGAAAGCATTGTGTTTTGGGCAACGTTGGCACTATTAGTATGTTCATGCAACCAAAAGATGACTGAAAATTAAATCATATTGTATAATATTTATTTATTAAAAACCTTCTTTAAATTGTCCGTTTATCAATTTTGAAATTATAAAGAAACCAAGGTGTCAACTCCTTACAAATCGGTATTGTAATCGGTGTGTCGTTAAACAATGAACAAAACTGAGATAATCGGTGTGTCGTTAATCAACGAATAAAAATTGAGATAATCGGTGTAGTAATTGGGGTATCGTTAAGCAATGACAACAACTGACATAATCGATGTAGTAATCGGTTGGGTGTTAAGCATTGAACAAAAATTTGACATAATCGATATAGTTATCGGTGTGTCGTTAAGCCATAAATAAAAACTGGGATATTCGGTGTAGTAATCCATGTGTCGTTAACCAATGAACAAAAACTGAGATAATCGATGTAGTAATCGGTGTGCCTTTTAGTCATACATAAAAACTGAGATAACTGGTGTGTCGTTAAGCAATGAAGAAAAATTGAGATAATCGGTGTAATAATTGGTGTGTCGTTAAGCAATAAAAAATCTGTGATAATCGGTGTGTCGTTAAGCAATGACCAAAAACTGAGATTATCGGTGTGTCGTTAATCAATGAACAAAAACTGAGATAATCGGTGTAATAATTGGTGTGTCGTTAAGCAATGAAAAATCTGAGATAATCGGTATGTCGTTAAGCAATGAACAAAAACTGAGATAATCGGTGTAGAAGTCATATGGGTTTTAGGCAATGAACAAAAACTGAGATAATCGGTGTAGTTATCGTAGGGGTGTTACCCAACTCCAAATTAGTGTAGCATACGGAAATTATCAAGGTAATTTAACATGTTTTGGTTTTAATTCTATGTTAAAACAGCTATATGTGAAACGTATAGATTTGGGGAATTTTAAATGTAAATTGTATCTTGAACATGTAGCTCTCCAATTGTATCGATTCTTATACATCGTTGGCTTTCAAATATTCGACATCGGAAATTTCTGATAAAGGTTTATCCAGAAAAGCTCCTCGAACGCATGAACATTATAAAGTGTTGTTTTCATTTTTAACAGCACTGGGTCGATACCGCGACTAGTATACTATTTATGCACGAGAGTATCATCAGCTCAGTAGTCAGTATTTCGGTACTGAAATGATTTTTAACAAACTTTTGAAAAATTGTCCGGTTATAAATTTTGAAATAATTTAGAAACTAAGGTTTCAATTCCCTCCGACAACTCTGAATTAGATCAATTTGGCTATTAAATTGTATCTTGAACATGTAGCTCTCCAATTGTATCGATTCTTATACATCGTTGGCTTTCAAATATTCGACATCGGAAATTTCTGATGAAGGTTTATCCAGAAAAGCTCCTCGAACGCATGAAAATTATAAAGTGTTGTTTTCATTTTTAACAGCACTGGGTCGATACCGCTGCTAGTATTCTATTTCTCCCCGAGAGTATCATCAGCTCAGTAGTCAGTATTTCGGTACTGAAATGATTTTTAACAAACTTTTGAAAAATTGTCTGTTTATAAATTTATAAATTATTTAGAAACTAAGGTTTCAATTCCCTCCGACAATGCTGAATTAGATCAATTTGGCTATTAATTTTAGGTTTTTTTTTGTTTGTTTGTTTTTTTTGGGGGGGTGGGGGGGGGGGGGGGTCATGTAGCTCTTCAACTGGTTCGGTTCTTATGCATCCTTAGTTTTCAGTTAGTCGTCATTGAGTGTTCCTGACGAACAAAAATCATAAAAAGCGCTTCGGACGCATGCAATTTATAAAGTGTTGTTTTCAGAATTTACGGTGTCCTATCAGATACAATGACGGATCATGCATTTATCAATATCATTAAATGTGTTTAATTTAAACAGTTGTGCATTCATGTATCTCTAAAATTGAGAATGGAAATGGGGAATATGTCAAAGAGACAACAACCCGACCAAAGAACAGACTGGGTCTTCAACGCAGCGAGAAAATCCCGCACCTGGAGGTGGTCCTCAGCTAGCCCCTAAATAAAATAGTGTACTAGTTCAGTGAAAATGGACGTCACACTAAACTCCAAAACATATAAATGAACTAAAATTAAAAAACATACAAGACTAACAAAGGCCAGAGGCTCCTGACTTGGGACAGGCGCAAAAATGCGGCGGGGTTAAACATGCTTTGTGAGATCTCAACCATTCCCCTATACCTCTAGCCAATGTATAATAAAGAAACACATAGTAATACGCACAGTAAAACTCAGTTCAAAAGAAGTCCGAGTCCGATGTCTGAATAGGTAACAAAAGAAACCAAGCAAAATGACAATGATACATAAATGAACAAAGGACTACTAGCAGTTACTAACATGCCAGCTCCAGATCTCAATTAAAATGATTGAAAGATTATGTCTTCATCATATGAAAATCAAGTATAATCCCTCCCGTTAGGGGTTTAGTATCATACCATCATAAAATATATATGAGAAGAACATAACCCGTATCATGCCAACAACTGGTTTTAAACAACTAAGAAAAATATATTAGAATCAGTCAACGTTATTTCTATAAAAACATGTTTTTATAAATGCTTCAGAGAGAACCTGACTCTAATAGCACAAAGCAAGAAATACAAAAGGAGAGTAATAACAGGATAACTCAAGAGGTATGTAAACAAACATATTCTTTAAAAAAACAGGCTGAAGATAAACTGGTAACACCAAGTAAAACAAAAAGACGGACGACTCCACAAAATACTACATAGCAAACTAAAGATTGAGCAACACGAACCCCACAAAAAGACTGGGGGTAAGTTTAGGTGCTACGGCAAGGTAAGCAGAACTTGTTACATGTGTTGCCTGTACCAAATCAGGGATATGGCAGTTGTTTTGCACTTCTTCCGTTGATTGATAGCGTTTGCTTTTGATTTTTGGACTTTCCCCTTTTGAACTTGCCTTGAAGTTCGGTATTTTTTGTTTTACTTTTTTGCATTCGTCATGTTGTTTGTGCAATTGCATATCCTTGTTTGATACAATTATGTTAGATGTAAACGATTTTCCAGTAAAAAAATCCTCTTATTATAAAAATTGTTGTACATAAATCTGTGTGCAAAACATAACTGTGTAAATGTCTGTCATCACATTGTTTCTACAAACATTTGTGCAAAGTCCTCGTGTCAACAGTATAGGTTTTGTTATCACTGTTCAGCGTAGTTATGTGCCTTTTTTATGTTAACTATTATGCATATATTTATTCGTTGATTAATAAAATCATTATTATTTTTTTTATTATTTGTTTATTTTTTATTTCTGTGCAAACATAATGTATAAATACGAGTTTGTCACTGTAAAAGCTTAATCTCAATGTTATTACAATAAAGAAGACTACATTTACTCGGAATATGTTACTACAATAAAGAAGACTACATTTACTCGGAATATGTTATTACAATAAAGAAGACTACATTTACTCGGAATATGTTATTACAAGAAAGAAGACTACATTTCCTCGGAATATGTTACTAAAATAAAGAAGACTACATTTACTCGGAATATGTTTGATTATCTATTATCTTTTTTCAGATAATCAACAGACTTAAAAATCTGGAAGGTAGCTTAACAGAATTAAAGGATACAAAGAAAATGGTTTGTAGTTTAAATAATTGATTTTTTTCTGATATTTGTTTAATTATTTGCAAACTCATGACTGTTTTATTTCATTGTATTTTAACAGTTGATAAATTAGTGCAACTTAAAGCACATATCTGTCCAATAAAGAAACACTTTCATAACTTCTCAAAAGACATTTTAATAGATTTAAAATTCGATCAAAACACTTGTTACGTCTACATCTTTGCTCTTTTACTTTTTCAGATGATGGACAAATTGCAAAGTATGGAAGAAAGTTTAAAACACGATTCTAGAAATGATATGAATGGATCTTAGTCTAATGTCTTCTGTAGTCGATCTGAATGATATAATCGTAGTAACAATACATCCTGAGTACAATATAGGGATTTATAATGAGAGAGAATTGTGCTTTTTTTCTAGAATTTTAAATAACCCAATTTGAAACATGAATATGTTGATAGAGAATTGTTTTTCTTTAATCAAAATAGCATGTTAAGTAAATGATTGTAATGTTCAGAAATGTTTTTCTCCGTTATTTATGATACCGCTTTACTTTTTCTATCTTACACCTAAAAAAGATCAAATGTTAGTTTTAACTGCCGACGTAGACATTGGATACAACACTCCTGACTGGTTATTGAAATAACATTGACGGTACCCATTGTATTGAACCAAATGTGCGAAATGTGACTATTATTATCTCTTGGCAAAAATATTTGAAAGCCCAAAACATAATACAAACGTTTAAGAGCTGATAAAACCACAAATAGAACAAAAGTAAATTCAAAACTGGACCAGGAATCAGAGCTTTCCACGAGGGAGAAAAATTCCTTTATTCAAAAAGATTTCGAAATTTTATAACAACAAATTTAAAAAAAGGCATGGTAGGAGTACTGGCTACTAAGCTAGTGATACTATCGGGAACAAATAGTCCACCAGCAAAGGTATCAGCCAAGTGGTAATTATAATATTGACGGTACCAATTTTACTGCTCTAGAAAGCTTTGATAATCATAGGTTATTATATGATCCGTGTGGCCATGTTGTTACCGGACACTTTGTCAAATACCGTGAGGTGTTGTGTTTCTAAGAAAGGCCCAAAATTCCATCCACCTTTTAAAATTAACTGGAAGAGGTGTTTTGTAAACTCATTAACGCCTCCCTTTCCCCTTTCTGCAAATCATTCTAAAGACGAGAGAATGTTGATTATAAAGTTTTGATTCCTTGTTTTAAAAAATCATCAATTTTTGAAGATATTTTGTTTTAAATATTTCGAAAATGACCTAATACAAGATTTCTTCTGAAAGATGCCGAGGCTATAGAACAAACTTTAGGAAAACGTGTTGTGTAAACAATGTTTTCGTCGATTAACGTAAATACCTTACCGAAGTACTTCAACAACGACTGAATTAAAAGCTGCTACTGAACATCTCAAAGTTCCCATATATATTTGCTTCCTAAACTACACGAGCCCCTTTTATGATTTTTGTTTTACTAGAAGATGCCCGCGAATCGCGGTACAATTGGGCAAGTGTTAAAAACAGAGTTTTTAAATTTCGCGGGCAGTACGTCGACTGAGCCTTCGCGAAAGCGTATAAGACATGGATCGATAACGGTCTCCGAATTTGGATATTTTCTCAAAAATTGGCATTTTCTGTGGAAAAAAGATTGTTTCAAAGACAAATTTAGGAAGTACAAAACACTACATTTATACGTCATATCACAAATATTTCCGACTTTGTATGGTTTCAGAGGAGTTGTGGCTCAATGAAATCGGTTCCTTCCTTTAGTAGTATTGATATCTGGATTCAATAAGTGTTCACTTGTTTCGATTGTTCTGACTTGTTCATTTTCAGTTGTTAAAGTACTCGCTATGAAAAAAAGGTGTAAGACATGGTTGGCACAGCTTTTTGGTAGAATTGATAGGACGGCATAATTCCACATCAACAGGTCAAAAACTTTAAGCTTGTGGTCACTGAATACGATCAGTCTTTAATATAACATCATGTATGATTATTTTTCGTTTTTTCGTCTTCTATTTTACCTGTATTTAGGAGTTCAGTGATGTCCTGATCTCTAAAGTGTACTATTTGATGTGCGTATAGGTTGTCCATTGATCGAGAATAATTATGGGGAGGGCTCAGATTTTAAATATCTTGTTTAACGCCGCCTAATATTCGTGAACCGGTCTTTAGTCAGAAAAATCTTATTACGTTGTCTTGTTTCATATGTTAATGTTTTTAAAAGTTATGAGGACAACTTTGTGTTTTATTTAAACACAATTTTCATCGACTCCAAACCATTTTGAGCTAAAATATTGTATAGACACGTGTCAATTGTTAAAGACTGATGCCTTTTAGATATCTTTTTTGTTCCTGGGTTGCAGTCTAGGTCATGTATTCCACGTCTTCTAGTTTTTATACATAAATGTTGAGGTTCCATAAATACTTATTTCCCAAACTAAAAATGCCATTTAAAAAAAAACCCGAAAAACCAACAGTTTACAAAACACAAATTAAAAACTAAAAACTAAGCAACACGAACCCCACCAAAAACCGGGGGATCTCAGGTGCTCCTGTGCTCAAAGGAGAATATTTTTGTATAAACGACGAAGACGGACGCCAAGTTATAGAAATAGCTCATACCGACCTGTTGGGCCAAATGAGCTTATAATTGACACTCTTGAATATGACAGATGTTTTCCATTCGTTCCAATGGTTGATATACGCGAGCGTTTGATTTTCTCAGGTTCTGTGGACTTCCCCCTTTTTGAATATACCTTGGAGTTTTGTTTTGTAAATACTTTTTTGATTTATGCTGTATTGATCTAAAGGTAAAAGTAGAATTATTTTACCCAATTTATATATAAAGCAATCTATCATGAAGTACCAGTAGAGGTGGTTTTAAATTCAATATATTCAATTTTCCAATTGTCAACCTCCCTTTTTTCAGCAGGTACCAACATCTGCTCCATCGTGTCGTATCAATATATCTCAGTTAATGCGTTACTCTTGTGCATGTTCACTTTATATGAACTTAAAAGGGGTGTGTTTCGTACGCAAATAAAACTATTCAACAGAATTATAAAGAAGAACAACAAAAATCCACTTCATTAGATTTATGGTCACCATTACCAAAAGGTTGACAGATACAAGTTGTCGTTGTCTCAATTGACTAGCGACATGTTTTCTCAGTTTTAGATCTTTAGATACCAGAAGAGTCGTTTGATCTGTTATTCTATATATTTTGTTCTATTCCCGATGTTGACGTTTGACTGAGTGTAAATTCGCATGGCGGGTGATACATGTATAGTAGGAGATCTTACCTTATCGACCCACCCGGTGTCGCTCCTTTGGAAACAAAGGAAATCTACAAATCAGACTTACTTTAGACCTATCATTAGATAATGTGTTAAACATACGTGAAATAATAGGTTGAGTTAACTTTCTAATAAAGAATTACATTTAAAAAAAATGCGAAAATGGGAAAACTTTGAGTAAATTAAATTATAAGAGAAATTAGTGTTTTATTTTTAGGTGTCACTGTAACACAGTATGATTTTTTTTAATCTTATGCAACCCGAGTAAATCCTTCAAATTGTAAGTAAACTTTTGAACGTAATTCAAAGAATGTAAGATTTCTTGGTATCTTAAAGAAAAAAAAAACTCTAATTCAAATATAAAAACAAAAATGTAAAAACGGCATATCATTTAAAAAATATTTCAATTTATAACGAAATTAAGATGCCTATCTAAATAATTTCATGTTTATTATTTTGACTATGCATAGTCTTTATATGTTTTTCACTGAATTTTAGTATTATTTTTTAACTATATAAACATATTTTTTTAAATTATAGTTTTCAATGATGGACTTTTTGTTTGGAAAATGATTAATAAAACTAAGGTTCAACTCCCTCAGGCAAAGTTGACCATAGATGGATTTGGCTATTTTGTTTTTAAAAAAACTTACATGACACAAGACAAATACAAGAATGTTGGTGGGACAAGGGTTTTTGTTTAAACCAGGTCAAGTCTACTAAATATAATTACAAAATATAAAGAAATAACATTGTTCATTAGTAAATATTATCTGAATCTTAAACAAAGTATAAAATGATTAAACTGAGAATTTTGATTAAAGCTACAGAAGCATTGCCTATAATTGCTTACATCCACTTCATCTGAACTTTGGTGGATAGTTGTCTCATTGACAATCCTACCACATCTCCCTATTTTTATATTTATCAATTATCTAACTTATATAATGACGTATAAAAAGAATTATGTTGTGAAATATGAAGTACTTTAATATAGACCCATAATTCGTAATACAATGTGTACTGTATTGTTACGTTTTACATAAACATTAACATTATTCCATCATGGCTTATTTAATCAGGCATACATACAAATCAGAAAAAGACATGTTCATTGACTTTACGGACCACATGTATAAATGGGGATAATGGATAGCTCAGAGTTCGGGTAAACAGAACAAGAATAAAACGCTTAAAAGAACTATGCTTATAATTTGGTAAGCCATACACACGTGCCGTATTAAAACAAATTTGAAGGTCAAATCTAGTTCAAGTTGAAGAGGATTGACAAGCATAGTTTCCCAAAAGATTCGAAAAAAACGGTTAAGGTCATCGATATAAATGAAATGTGGTAAAATTACCGATGAGACACCAATCCACCAGAGATCAAATGACGTAAATGTAAGGTATATACTGTGGATTCATTTCTTTTCGTGGGAACCAATTTTCGTGGATGAAGGAAAACTTACATGTTTGTGGATATTTAATTTTGTGGTTTTGCCGAAGTCTTCATACAAGCCTATAGAAAATTTGTCATTCGTTGAACATTTAATTTCGTGGTTCACCTGTACCCACGAATTCCACGAAAATTGACATCCAACGAATAATGATGAATCAACAGTAGGTCGCAGAACAGCTTTCAAAAAGTGCGAATTTCACACCTGATAATAAGGTATAAAACATGACAAAGTTCAATTCGAACGAGAAATCCAACGGCCTAATACACAAATTAAGGTAGCACAATACAAAGATTTTTTCACCCCCAATCAGACAACTTTAAATTGATGTAATTTCTTTCATCCAGCTTTAAATTGTATAAATGAGGTACCAAAAGAAAGAAGAAAGATTAATCTTTCAAATGGTGATTATTTCATTATGACATGATTATTACATAATTAATTATTATGTAATTAGTTGCTATAATGTAATGTCCTATCTTGAATGAAATTAACGTCTTTGTTATTCATACCATCCAAAAATATTTTATAGATTCTTGTGCAACACAGTTTGACCTCCAAAAGGGTGTCTCAGATTTTTCCTATTGTATTTCATTCTCTCATAAACCTTCAATGAAGTTTGCAACCTCAATTCATAAGAGATCACTAAATTAAATTGGGTATAAAATGTGTTCTATTGATGTTTTTGGATATCTGAGACACCCTTTTTAAGATATCTATTCAAGGAACAACATGTGTGAA